TTCTGTGAATGCTGTAAAATGTATTTTGAAGAAGGCAATCAGCTGTTTTAAATACGGGAGACAGTTCCCATGGCAATTAGCTATTGCAATTAGTTGCCGTGGCAATTGGCCATTCAATTATTTGCTATGGAAATTAGCCAAGAGGCAAACACCTTTGCATTCATCAAGTCGATAGTAGGATTGTTTCATCACTGGAGAAAAGTTGGGTATTAGTAAAGTTATGATATCCTGTTTAATCCTTTCAATGTGAATAATGGAATGAAAAAACATTATTATGTAACTGAAATTAAAATCTCATTCTGTTGATCGGAATATCTGCTTTCTTTTGCATGATTATTGATGATTATATTTGTTTGTGAAGCTGCAGTGGCAAACAATGTTATTTGCAAAGTTACGGTACACGTTAGTTGAGTAAAAGCAGAGAATGAGACCCGCTCTGTGTTTATTGTAATCCGGCCTCCTTCCTGTCAATGCAGACGGGCCGGCCGAAAAATCAATCTCATTGCATGTTGGCACATGCGAGCATGCTTCACTGGCCAAATACTGTATATTGCTCTCGTGGGGGTGTAACAAGTGATAACCCCGTCCCAACCAGCTGCGTCCTTGTGGAAGACTAGCGCCCATTTCCCGGTTTCCCACCAGGTAAACACGGAGAGCGAACCTTGGTAAGGCTGTTAGCACCATTAGCTGATGCATCCCAATGTTGAGAGCCATGTGAAAGAAATGAATTAAGGAAAAGGCTGCCATATTTGCCATGGTGGTCTCCACTAACCAACCAGAACCAAACAGTATCCCCAAATTAAGAGTGCATCAAAATGTCTCGAGATTTCGAGTGTTAGTGGTCAAACGCTGCCCCTCACTTTTTCAGAGCATGTGGCTAGGTTTTTATATTTTGAGATATCAAAACAAAACTAGTCAGATTCTTAATACTTAATGAAATACATACAATACAAACATATAATATCTATAATATCACAATATAGTTGTGATACAGCTGTGAATGTGTTAAATCTTCTGACACTTTATAGCCAAACAAACATGATGAGTAGGAAAAGATGTGTGTAGCTTCAGCTATGTGACAAGTGTCCATTGAGGAAGACATTGATGCTTGATAATAGAAAACAGTGTGTCTTTGGGCTTCCGGCGTTCCGTTGCCTCTTCATTTCCCGAGAAAGTGGCTGACGAGTACAAATACATTGCTTTACATCCAAGTAGTATTTACACTTAAACGCGTCATTGGGACAAAAAACAGTATAGTACGGTTTGCTGCTCGCCGCTATAGAGCTGGATTCATTTTGAGTGTGACAATGTGTCAACTTTAATGTGTTCTTCCATCTGACAGGCTGCATGCTAATCACATTTATGAAGCCATGTTTTTGCCAGCATGTCATGTATTGTGCTGAGCCTTTAACGTACAGATGCACGCACCCCCCTACATGACAACAGTTATAACACCCCATGTTTCTTTCTGACAGACGTGGTGAGATGTTGTGACTGAACACATGTGACAGAATTCCCGGCCAGCCACTGTTTCACATTTGTCACATTTTTGTGGAATACCAACAAACATTGATATTCACAGCCTAATCTCCAAAACCTGTTCGTAAAAATGTATACGAAAATCTTGAAGATACAAATTTGTAGTGATACATACTAAATAAATACGGACTGGCAACTGATGACGTCACCCTATTCAAAGTGAATGGGGAGCTGCACCCCGTAAACACACTTTGTGAAGTCTAACGATGTAGAATAAACGTGTTATGATTGCATTTTTAACGAGAAATCAATGTTAAATTGTAAGAATGCAATACTAACCCTAACCCCCTCAAAAACATCCAACATGGCGGAGAGACGTTCACTCAAGGGGCGTGGTTAACCACCGCCAGTTCGTATGTATTGTTACGAATTTCTATGTCAAATATTTCGTATACATTTTTACGAACAGGTTTTGGAGATCATGTTGGATATTCAACATGACTCTCTAACAGATTACTTCCCCCATAAATGTCTGAAAGAGCCGCTGGTCTCTCTCCCCCTAAAGTATAATTGCTCCCACAACATACATCTAAGCACACAGAAAACTAGAAAGAAATCATAAAGCAGCTTCACTCTGACAGCTGCAAAGCTCCAGCGGAAACAGTTTGGAGCAAAAACTCTCAGCGAGACGAGCCTGCAAGCTGGAAATAGATAAATTGCGAGCCAGTGTCAACATGGAGCAGGCATTGGCCAGGGGAGCGTATTTGTATGTGCGCTCTGTGGTTAAGGTTCGGGTGACTGCACAGGAACTGGAACCCACAAGAGACGCCCCTGACATGCAGATCTCAGTGAAGACATGACGGATTCGCCGTCGCTTGAATAACAACTGCTCATCAAAAGCGAACGTGGTCTTAAGCATTCCATAGGACGTCTGCATGCTGTGGAAAAGCAAAGGCGGCATTTTATTCAGCTGTTTGTATGTGCAGAGACGAGCGCGTGCGGGGGTCTAGACTGGGGATCAGCGGCTTTTCAGTGCTCACTGATGGAGAAAGGCTCCGCGGCTGACAGGTTGCTCCCGACGACCAACGGAAGCTGTGATTGACAGACGAGTCTTAGTGAGGACCAGAGCCGCTCTCTTGGCTCCTGAAGGGATGGCATGAACTCAGGGGCAGCATCCCTGTGGGGCACTATAAGGATGCCCCCCCGCCCCCCCTCCGTGATTCACTCTGAAAAAGAGTATTTTAAACATTCCTCCATGTGCCTGTGGTGCTGCCAAGATTTGTGTGTAATCTAAACACGTTCAGCGTTCGCTTGTGTGACTCAAAATAGCTTCATTTTTCTATGACAGAGATTACGTGTATTGGGTTTTGTGGCACTGGAGACATCTCAAATCCTTCCCGTCTTTAAAGAATCCTGTCGTTAAAGCCTTCCGGCATGTTGCATCGTCTGTTCAAAATAGCTCCCACCACCAGGTTGCTTTTCTGTATCTCTGTAGGCCTGGGATCAGCTTCGCGAGTTGAGTTATAGAGCGAAAAAGTCATTAAGTGGGATGAAGATACAAGGGATCGATGGAGCAATTGATACTGTGCAGCTCTCAATCGTTTACAGTACGGTGCACATGAGCATCGGGGTGTTAAAGCCTGTGTTTTTTTTGTTTTCAGGTGAGCTCTCCACAAGTCGTCAGTTATAGAGGGGGATCAATGGCATCAACACACCCAGACAACATGGAGCGCCCAGTTGGTAACGCTTCAAACTTATACCGTAACATAGATTAGGCACATAAATAAAGATGGAAAAATGTCAGTCGTGTTAACAATATTGTAGCGTTTTTTTAAATGATCATTTTAGGTTGTAATAATATAACATTTTAGGCTGCAAATCCTTTTCGACAACACAATAAACCAGGTGATGCAAAACCCTTAACTCCCTGCAGAATAACGAGCGGCAGCAACCAATCTCTGGCGGGTGTGTGGGCAGCTTCAAGACACTGTCTTGAGCCAGTAGTTTTAATGGCTGTGAGGAAGCTGCTGGATAAATGAGACGGACAGATAGTGTCGTCTAAAGAATTGTTCTGCTTTATTCTCTCCTTGCACATACACACCCAGCAAGGCACACTACATCTCCCTTGTCCCCGCGATGACACGTAGATTTGACTTGTTCTCCTCTAATTATGTGACCCACCTGGTCCCAAAGCCTTTCCTTGTGGAAGCTAATGGCCAACTGAAGCTCTAGTTGCTTGTCATTACCCTGACAAGCCAACTGTAGCTGTCTCATAGATGGGAAATAAATGACAAGTACAACAAGAGACTGTTGGCCCTCAACTATAGTCGGATCTGTCCTCATTAAAGGGACTTTGTGGAATATCACATTTTGTAGATGTTATTTTGGCCTCAGATCAGGCACAATGGCATTGGAATCATTCACATAATGATGATGCTGGTCATCATGATACTCGCTGTTTGTTTCGTTTGTCGTTAAAAACAAAATATGTACACAAGCAGTACATGTGCCTCTAGGTGAATAATTCATAAAAAGGCATTCAGTATTTATGGAGTCAAACACGCTGCTGCAAAAGACTTCCAATGACACACTCATGTTAAATCCCCAGACCAAAGGAAGCCACACATTCCCGACCATGAGATACAACATGACACTTTTAATTTAGACTTCAGCATTAAAAGAGAAGGAGGACAAGATCGGCGTTTCACATAAAAGCACAATGCCAGAACTTTGGGGCGTGTGATGTGATGTCGTTGCCTTGATGTAAATAAAATACCTTTTTTTTCACTAAGCTGTTTGTTCCACAGGGTGTTAATGCGGAATGAGTCACTCGTGCCTGAGGTCCAAGACGCCTAAAATCCCACTCACATTCCCACACTACCAGGTTTCCCATGCAACCTCATACCTAAAGTTAATATGCCCGTAGTATAATGACATCTGCGTGGTGGCCTACTAAACCGTGGTTCCTCCACCCTTGGGCTTCAGCCAACCCGTAGTACGTCTCTGCCTGTTTTTCTGTCAGTCAGCCCTCTTCTGTCTTGCTCTGGGAAGCCAACCTTTCAGAATTTCCAATGATGCCTCAGAAATCTGTTTCCAGGGCAACCAGGGTACCAAATACTCTCCCAGTGGCTTTTCGCCTGTGCGTCGTTTGTTTACACTTTTCATATCTGTGTGAAGATGTAGTCTGCTCTAAACAGAAACGGATTGGAGCGAAAAAAAAGACACATGAGTCAAAATGTTGCCACCGAGAATGTCAGAGTAACCCAATACACATTATTATGAATATCTTTTTTCTGATTGGCATCCCTGATTTATTCTACGTGTTACAAGTGTAGGTTTGTAGTCGCTTTTTTGTGTGTAAAGATTTAGATTAGACTTCCCACGAAATAATCCATGTAATTGCGTGTGCTTAATTACACCACTGGGAAAGAGTCGATCCGTGATGCGCAGCTGCGCGCTCTGCCCTGAAATCCGGAGCACATAAAACCGACACCTTTCGTTATGTAACAGACACATAAGACAACCTTTGCATGCGTTTCTGATTATTACCTTCTTTATATATTGGACTCATTGAAAACCAACTCACGTCCACCACTTTTAAGCCTTGCGCTTGCGCGTAATGGAGCCGAGAGGTGTCCATGTGGTGAAATGAGAAAAGGCGGTCCCCTCCCATTCCTCAACAGAGGACGGCGCTCCACCTGCGAAAAGATGTCACTTCATAAGTAACAACCCGGGCCAGCGGGGCTTTCTTCTCGGCAGCGGCTCTTAGATTCGGACCGACGCAAAAGGCGGTTCCGGGCGATGCGTTTTTGGAGTTTCACCCTCTCGGCGTCCGACGACCGGACTGATGTCCACTGCGCTTCCAGAAATCTGTTTTGGGGAGTCAGAGTTTCGTGAAACTAAACTATGAATTGTGGCTGCGTTGAGGAATGTCTCCTTTATTCTTCTTCGACACAAGAACCCCTAAACGCCAACGACTTGTTCAGGAAGAAAGCGGCACCCCTATTTGGATTATGTGTTTGACCAACGTAAACATATGGAAGAAATAAAAAAGTGAGCACATGGGAAACCCACCAGGAATGAATCGGTCCTTTATTAAGGTTTTGGCAGCTTTATTTACGTATTTCATGGAGACAAACCACTTCAGGTAATTAATTGACCAAATGTTTATTACTTTATGGATTGAATTATTTTTCCCTTTCTTAAGTTTGGATAATGAGATGATTCGGTGTAATTAAATAGAAAACAATAAAACGCACAGTGACATCTGTCTGCACAGAATAAGTTTCTTTGCATTTTCAATTGTTTGAATTTCTTATGGGTGCTATTTGGTTCTAATGCATACGTAAAATGTGTAATATGATCAAGTGTTTTTTTTGGTACATTAGTACATTAACTTCGTTTATATATTAATGAATGCATTGTAGTATTACTTGTTCTCCATGGAGTCAAATACATTCACATAAAATGACAGAACGCTGTGGCATCTGTGCATAATCTTGATCTGTGCAAAAATCTCTTTCTTGTAAAAAAAGAAAATGCCCAAATTTGAAAATGTCAAAATCACAGAAGATTTGTCTGATATGTGTGTTCTCTTAAACGCATTTTCTAGTTTCCCTGTGCTTGCCCATCACTCCCCGGCAGCTGTGAGGCGACAGATAAGGTTTAACTCCTGGTTCTCTCTGTGTGTGGTTACGTGTGTGTTCCAGAGTTGTGGATGCCAAGGAGCACGGTTCCAGACCATCCTCCAACATGTCTCCATCCGACTTTTTAGACTCACTGATGGGTCGCACGTCTGGGTATGATGCACGAATAAGACCGAATTTTAAAGGTTGGTATATCAATGTCTTAAAAATGTCTCAAAACCACAGAAACACAGAATGTTTAATGGATATTGAGTATTTATGCATGCAGAGTCCACGTCCCACTAAGCACAACAGACTTTGACGTCTGGAGATCCATTGACAGTTTTCTGATGCTTACTCCGCCGCCGGTCCTCTGATAAGTTTGATCAATAGCTTCATTTGACAGTAACATTGTTTTCTTGGCATAAAGTAAAGCATCAACTTTATTGCAACACCACACATTTGTTTGTGTTTGATAAAATCACGTCGGAGAGAATCTCCAATAAGTCATAATTTACAAACCAAAAAAGGACTTGAAAGGAAAAAGATCACAGTCACAGTCGCAGGCGGGGAGGCCACCACGACAGGCCGAGCGGTGATTGATGCCCCCGCGGCGAGGCTGCAGGCTACCGACTTGCTCTGTTGTTGATGCCACGAGGCTGCGGACAGACGCAGCATCTGTCACTGGAACGGAGCTGAGTGAGGAGAGAGGGGTCGGCCCGCTGGGGCTCGGGCCCCATCCTGGCTGGGTCAGTCGGACTGGGATTTGTTGGTCGGGGAGTTGATTGCAGCAGCCAAGGCGGCAAATAGCACGGGGTTGGATGAGCGGGATTCAGAAAACACATGGCCCAGATATTTCCTCTCCGTCTGGGGAGGAAAAAAGGAAGATGTTGACAAGATTGCTGAAATGGACATGAGATGGGAGGAGGACAGCCTGTTTAACACCGGCTGGCATTTTCCGGGGAGGGATGAAGTGAAAGCAACTATTTCCAGCTAATGAGGGAGGATGAAAACATGTGGACTAAAAGGCATTGAGGCTGATTTGAATGTTTATTTTTGTATTCTCTCTGTGTTATAAAATGGATCATTTCATTGCTGAAATACAAAAGCTATCGCCTAAACCAACAGCAATATAAACAGATGATTTCGGGTGCAAACCTGCCAGTCATACATTGAAGAGAGTGTTGAACTGTATTTCTGAAGGCTGACCTAGATATCCTCGCTGACTTTGTTGTGAGGAGGTACTGCTCTATTTTTCTGCTATTGTTGTTAAATGTAGCTACCTGACGACGAACTCAGGCAAATATTAATACCAAGTCCTGTGCAATATTGATGAAGACAGCACAGGGGAAGGAGACTATGAAGGGTTTATAACTCCACTTAGATGGGGGAAAGAGATTTACTTTAATCCCGCCAAGCCATGCAAAGAGATGTCCGTTTAGACGCCACAAGAAGGACTCTACTAATTACAAAAATGTACTGCTCTGATTTGATATTACAAATAAGGGATTACTGTGAGTAAATTGATGGATAACCTCTATATTACTGTCTTTATTCATTGATTAATTATGAAACATGTAGTACATTTAGAAATATTTATGTTTTTGTTTATATACATCATTGAAGATTAGAAGAATATTTGGAATTTGAAAGCAGCAAATAGGTGCAGGTTAGTTACTTGTTCAAGTGTGTTGACTGAATAATCATGACGATTGCAACATATTGACACAGTCTGAATCCATTGCTAATTATTATATTTAGTTTGATACAGCTGCACGGCAATAACATTGTGTGGTACAACACAAGTGCAGTCTGTCACTATTCACACCTGGAAATCCGACGGGGAAAAAGCGAAACGATGATTGTGGGTAATGCGTGTTGACACAAACAGTGAAACAGCAGCTTGTGAACCAGAAGTCCCCAAATTGATGTTCCAAACAGACTGTAGTTGTCCTTGATGATGTGGTTAAAGGCTTTTTCCTTTCATGTCACTGTCATTCCGTTTCACAGGTCCCCCCATAAATGTTACATGCAATATTTTCATCAACAGTTTCGGCTCTGTCGCAGAAACAACTATGGTGAGTTCCTCTGGCACTTTGGCTGATTTCTGCACAATGTGTTGTCTATCCCTCACCCTGCAGGTCCACCAGTTAATGTTACCTGCAACATATTTATCAACAGCTTTGGTTCTATAGCAGAAACTACAATGGTGAGTTGAGCATCATGCACGTGTTCTAAAGTCCTGACCAGAAAGACTTAATCATCTGGTTACTTTGGCAAATCTACCTTGTTTAAAACCTTTATCAGTGCTGTGCCAAAAAACGGGATTTTTGCTATTAGAAATAGTCCATTGGCCGTTCCATTGGGGAACAAAGACATTATTGATGCGAAATATGTTCTCTGGCTGTCCAGGCAAGTATTGGTTTCCCCTCCCATGATGCCCCTTATACAGTACATGTGTTATTATGTGTTCAATAAATAATACAATAAATCCCAACCACCTAAAGTGCTGCCAATAATGGTGGGTGGTGGTGCTCAGGCTTCCAAACGAGCTCATCTACTCTCTGTGATGTGTGAAAGCATCCAGCTGCTTAGGGGTGAAAATATAAAGAGCTGCGAGGCCGCATCAAAACTCATCCCGATCAAAGGATTCATAATGAGTGATAATAACTACTTAGAACGTGAATGAAGGATGTTAATTTGCGTAGGAGCTGAAGCTCATAAGATTGCTGGGGAATTACACAGCTTTAGACATGCAAACAAATATTTGGAGTCGCCAATATTCTGATGAAATGTCAGTCACCATGAGGGCGCCCATCATCGTGACATATCAATTACTCTGAGCAAGTGAGCTTTGTAACTGATACTAACTGCACTGTTGGCAGTTTTTGCCACTTAGGTAATGGCTCCCACATAAATATTGTTAGTAAAAATTGTTATTAAATGGTCCTTTTGGAACTTTCATCAATAGGTAGTTAGGCAAACCATGACATTTACAATGAAAGACAGTTTTGCTGGATGATGTTGATCTTTTAATTTTTCTGTTTCATTATCTATCATGTGTTATTAGATATTTTGTATCATCAAAGCCGTTAAAATTTGGGGAATGTGACAATGTAAATGAAGATGTTGTGTTGTAATGTAAATGTTGAAGTTGACTACAGTGGAGACTTTGAAAGCCTGCCCCTTATAGCCTAGAACTGCTTTATACACTTTTGAAAAAAGAACCTATTAAAATTATATTATATATATATATATATTACATTTTTAATATTAGCCCATATTTTCATCTATAAATAAAAGCTATCAAACAAAGCCTTGGAGAAAGTTATGTAGGAATATGAATTATTCTTCAATGAAAGTATTCAAGTGAAGTACAAGTCCCACAGATAACCACTGTACTTGAGAGTAAATGCACTTATCATGTAGCAGTTTTACATTTAGTATAGATGCTTATTATCGTTATCGTTACATCTATGATATTTTGCATATATTAGAATAGTCATATTGCACTGTTTCTGCTTTTGTCATCAGAAGACGGATATATGATATTTAAAGCTGATACCGATGGCTGCTTCCTCATAGCCCCAATCACTGGATTACAAAATATGCAAAGCTGCTTGTCATCTCTGCAGGATTACAGAGTGAATATCTTCCTGCGGCAGAAGTGGAATGACCCTCGGCTGGCGTATAGTAAATACCCAGATTCCTCCCTGGACCTGGACCCGTCCATGTTGGACTCCATATGGAAGCCCGACCTCTTCTTTGCCAACGAGAAAGGGGCCAACTTCCACGACGTAACCACGGACAACAAGCTGCTGCGGATCTTCAAGGATGGGACGGTCCTCTACAGTATCAGGTGAGGTGTTAAATGTGTTGTTACGAACGACAGCACAATAAGGACTTAAGGACGCAGCTTTACGCTAAAGCTGAACTACATGTATGTGATCAATAGAGAATGAATCTGCATATTTTTCATAATCAGATAATTGGTTGAGAAACAACGAAAGAAAAAAAGAAAGCAAAACTAAAACAGTACAAATTCAAATCTGAATATTTTCCGTTTTTTCTTCTTAATCATGGACTGACATAATCACATATTTTACAAAAAATCAAAGTGGGCTTTAGGAATTTTTCCCTCTTGGTGGTATAAGGATCAAGGGATTATTTGAGAAAATAATCAACAGATTAGTTCATAATGAAAATAATTGCCAGATAAGAACGCTAGCTTAACCCATTTGGGATTGTAGGTCTGTAGCTGAGGTTAGAATCTGCTGTGAGAGAATAAAAGATACAGAATGCACAGAACCAAAAGCTCTGATGCACAGCTCACCCACATGCTCACTCAGTACGTCCCTCGTATGTAAAATACATTTTTTATGAAACAATTCTGATTGCAATAGGGCAAATCAATCTCAGGGAAATAGCTGAGAATCCAAAGCAAATATAAAAATGGTAATCCTTCTTTATGTCAGGCTCTCGGCAACAAGGATTTTTGTCCCAAATTTAAAAACACTTCCTGAAGGCAGGAATGGATGTCATGTTAAAGGCCCATCGACCCAAACATGAGCAAAACTCAGTACAAGATAAGAAGACGTGTTTTTATTTCATTCAAATACAAGTTCAATGCCATCCAGCGGTCTACACTTTCTGGAGTAACGCAATCAGATACATTTTTTGGTCCATTTAGAGGCTCAGGTGTGGAGACGCAGTGGGTCAACGGGAGGGATGGAAGGCGGTTAGCCACCCTCTCAGAGTGAGCAGACTGTGAACCACGATGCATCACAGAGACAATAAGTTGCAGTAATGAAAGTGTGATAGGAACCCGCTGAAGGGAATCCGACGTGATGAAAGAGGCTCACAACTACGCAAATGTTCTTTCAATTCATGTTCCAGCAGTTCGAAATTTAAAAACCAAATGTGTTCATTGGTGTGTTCTGTGCGTCTTGTTGTGGGACTTTGTCTCCCATCATAGGTTGACTCTCATCTTGTCTTGCCCGATGGATCTGAAGAACTTCCCCATGGATGTCCAAACTTGTACCATGCAACTGGAAAGTTGTAAGCATTTCCTTTGCCTCACTTTTGTCCCCTGCGCTTTCTACACACGCATATCCGGATATTCATTCACCTATTCCTTTGCGTCGCCAGTCGGCTACACCATGAACGACTTGATCTTTGAGTGGCTGGAGAACGGCGCGGTGCAGGTGTCAGAGGGGCTCACGCTGCCTCAATTCATTATGAGGGAAGAGAAGGAGCTGGGATACTGCACCAAACACTACAACACTGGTCAGCGCGCGCACAAACACAAGCACAAACACGTGCCTTGCCTGCATTTCACACCGCGAACATTTATCCGGGCCGGGAAAGCTCAAACGATTTTGTCTTTCAGGTAAATTCACCTGCATAGAAGTCAAATTCCATCTGGAGAGACAGATGGGGTACTACCTTATCCAGATGTACATCCCCTCCCTCCTCATTGTCATCCTCTCGTGGGTGTCTTTTTGGATCAATATGGACGCTGCTCCAGCCAGAGTGGCGCTGGGCATCACCACTGTGCTGACCATGACCACGCAGAGCTCCGGCTCCAGAGCTTCTCTTCCAAAGGTGAGCCTCACTCGGTTGTCTCATGGAACGTGCGTTTTGGATTTTGCAGGTCTAGAAACGATTGTGTTGAAATACAGTCTCTAGGTCTCAATCATGCAAAATCACAATACAACCTCTTTTTTAAGAATATATTAAGAAACATTTTATTTCAGGGATGATTGGACCATAAGTATGCGGCTTTTGTGACCTGGTTTGTGCAATCTGCCACAACGTTTGAGTCGAGGCTGTGAAGATGTTGCCACCTGAAGAGTCTGTACATTGCCGACAGCACTTATAGTCTGTGGGAGTAACTTGCCATCCACATTTTGTAAAGGGAACTACAGGCAAAGAGAGATGGATCTTGATGATCAATCACTCTCCACACAGCCGTCTGCACTTCAGCACCAAAGGCCTCGGCCACGTCAGAGATTCTCACATAAAAGGCACCCGTAGCTGATAAATATTTAAACAGAAGCCTGAGAGAACTCAGATTCAAGAAAACAATGTCTTAATGTGCCTTAACCGCTATCAAAAATCCGAGTTGTTTTCTCCATATGCTAATCCGCTGTCATGGTTTTAGGTGGTGCCATTGCTGAGCAGTAAAGAATGTCAGCTTCATCCTCCATTTCTCAAAAGAAACATATCAAAAATAGTGCCAGTGTTACAAATTAACAATAATAATAATACGTTTTCTTTCTATTGGTAATGAAGGAATTATTTATTTCCTGCTGTTCAAGACCTTGCAATCATTGACTGGCAGCTCTGATTCACTTGTTAGCAAACAATAATTACAGACATTTACAAATACTGCTTAGCTTACATAATGAGCAAGATAAATGGATAATTAATAGCCTGCAAAACTGGCTTGACCTTACAAATCCACCAATATTTCAAGTCAAAGCATGAATTCACACTATATTTGAACTGTCAGCTTATGCGGTCACCTTGGAGGATCTAACAAAGGAAATCTGTTTTCTCTTCCAGGTCTCTTATGTGAAAGCCATTGATATCTGGATGGCTGTGTGTCTGCTCTTTGTATTTGCTGCATTGCTAGAATACGCTGGGGTTAATTTTGTCTCCAGGCAACAGAAAGAGTTCCTTCGCCTGAGGCGAAGACAAAGGAGGAATCAAGGGGTAGGCTTTCAAAGTCACTATGTGTTTGGTGTTTGGTTTACAAACTTGTTTTCACATTAAGTATCTGTAGCATCAGTTGGCTGCACAGACTGGGACTTTGTACAGGAAATCATTGTAGCCACAAGATGTCATGATGACTTTGGTCAGCGTCCGTCTCGACAGGTCGGACTTCAAATCTTTTACTTTCGCCTTGAAATATTTCCACATCTGTGTACCAATATGATCAAAATTTGGCACTCCGAACCTGACTCCGAAATGATTTATCGGAATAATTTGGCGATGCCTTATCCGCCACAAGGTTGACCTTTGTCCTTTTCTTTACATCTTCTTTACATCTGCTAACAGCAGTGCTTTGGCTAACGTTAGCCTTCCAGAGCAGACTATTGGTGGCAATGGATAGTTAAATTCACTATGCCGCCATTCTTAGTTATTGGGTTATTTATTTAGGTGTTATTTTGGGATCAGTGTTAAGGTTCACATTGATAAGCGCAGTACTGAGCCAGTCTTTTAAAACACTCTGTTTATTCTGTCCTCAAATGCATGTTTTTCAGGACGATGGAATCCGCGATGGCCGCTTTAATTTCGCTGGCTACAACGTGAGTAAATGTCTGCCAACGAAGGACGGCTCAGCTGTTAAAAACGCTGCTCCTCCCGCGAACCCTCAACCGTCGGCCCCCAAGGACATCGACACCATACGGAAGAAGTTTGTGGACAGAGCTAAGAGGATAGACACCATCTCCAGGGCTGCCTTTCCTTTGGCTTTCCTCATCTTCAATGTCTTCTATTGGGTCACCTACAAAATCATCAGGCATGAGGACATCCACATTAAGACTTAACTTTTGACAGACAACATGTGTTTCTCTGTGTGAGGAATGCTTGGAGGGCATCTGGGCATTGAGAGGAGCCCTGGTGGGGTTCTTTCAGGGATAATGTGTAATGTTCATGCATCTTAAGGCTCATGTTTGGATGTTGTGAACAGCTCTTGATTTTGGTTGTTTTTGTTGAACCGCCTCATAGCATTTCCTGAAGAATCCTGGGCAACGGTTTACACGCTCGACAGGATGGACCAATTTTTTCCTGAATCGATTTTGCCAAGGCGTCGTTGCTAAGGAACAAAGAAACATTCCATGGGTTTGTAACTGTAAGGTAGCATAATTAGACACTCAAACACTTTTTGTGTTTGTAGAAAAAGGGTATTTCTTAAGGATGTTTAGGACTCTTTTGTATGGTATTGTTGTCATGGCACTTTTTCTCTGTTTATACTAAAGAAAGCAGCGTAACGTGCAGGCAGGAAGCACGCCCAGACACATCGGTCAGACACTCGGCGGCACATATTTTCAGGCATGAGCATGAACAAAGCATATGAAAATCTAAAACCGGGAATTGGATACTGAATTTTGATCAAATACCTGAGGCCTTAGACATCAAAGATTTGGAGAGATGAAGTGCTGTGCTTCTCTATTTTTTTTTTCCAAGCATCTCCGCTCATCCAGCGGTCTATCAGAGCCGGATGCAGCGTTTGATCTTTTCTAACTGGGGCCAGACATCCACTCGTAGTTTGGTGTATTATAAATCATATTTTCGGACAAGGAATGACACTTAAATTCAATGTAAGTTTATTGCAGTGTTGAAAAAGTCACAATGTTCCTTTTCCATTCAAAAGTCATTTATACAAATGTATATTTCACACGCTGGGTTCAGAAACGCGTAAGTGTACAGGTGAGCCTACAAACTGTGAACACGCACTGCATTACTCAACCACGTCATCTGTTCATATGCACATGAATTCATTTATACTCCAGGTAAATACTCCAGGTATCGTTTTAGAGTTTGAACCTATGTTTCCGTAGAATTAGTGTGATTAAATATATATTGTAATGGAGGAAAGGTTATGTTAACTTAAGAAAAAAAAAAAAAACTGCTTTCTCTAGACTTCGTCACGCACTGCTCTGGCCTCCTCTCACTTGGCGTGTTTGTAGCAGGAGGACGAAACGTGTTGGTGGATGGATTAAACAGCGAGGGACAGAACTGCATCACATTCATGGTATCAATGCACTCCTGATATACTGTGGTGAAGAACTCCTTTCTTGAATGCTATTCCTGAAAAAAAAGCTTATTTACTGGTCCGTACGTCAATAAAATTGACTGCACCAAATTTACTTTATTTCCACTTCCCGTCATGTATACGGTTGTATTCTTTGTTTTCCGTTGTCATTAATTTATTGAGGCAATTACACTGTGAATAATTTCATCACATGTAAGAAATGAATGGATGTCAGCCTGACAAGAAGAAAACTACTGACCAAATAAGGTAAAACAAACACAGAAATGTGCATGAGGATCAGATATTAAAAAACTGACAGTCTCTTCCCCGAGCCCATAAGTCAGGGTGAGGACACGCGCACGGTAGTTCCACAGGCTTAAATATCAGTTTAATGCAGGACCTTCATAGACAAGAAGGGACAATTGACATTTACAATATAGAGGCTACAGTACTTGAGCTCAGACAGAAGCAATGAATAAGCCAAATATATCGTTCTTAAAGAGACAAGAGTGGCCGCACCACCTCTTCATGTCCTGTGATTACATTATCGGAATAATAATGCCAGTCATTTTCATACTATGGGTTTTGCCAGGATCTATCAATCTTATTAATATTAAAGAATAACATTTCTTTGAAATGTTGCATGAATCATCAAACTACTATTTTAATGCACAACACACAAGGATTATGAACTAATCAATAATACCAATCCCAGCGTAGAAATACCAGACACAGACTTACATCTCTGCCAATAGTTATTGCAGTTTGAATATGCAGGGATGCAAAAGCACTCGTGCAATCAAGTTCAGTAGAATGGCTTATGAAAGGAAAATAATTTGCAGCTTATGATTGTGTTTAAGAAGAAAAACAACTTTCCATCATTCATTAAGGTTTAGGGAGACTGCTGTGTGAGGTCGGGCAGAGGAAAGAAATGAGCGTTGCCATAGCAACAGCACAGCAATTGAGAAGGCCAGTGTGAGAGAAAAGCTGTAAATGAATGGGGTTGAAAACACTGGAGCAGGATTTTGCCAAAAGGTGTCCCACAGTAAATCAAACATTTCTACCATTTCAAAGTAATAAAACCAGCAGCAAATCTGTGGTTTTAGTCAGAGGGTTGTGCTTCTTGGAAGACCTTCAACAGGCCCGGAGGGAAAGCCCATGATTGTTGTACCAAAACTGTTCCATGTGGCACTTCAGCAACAGAAATATTGTTAGTTTGGTGTAAAATCATCTGCAGATTAATCTCTCCTCCTCTGCTTAAAGTAGCCTGGTCGTGAATTACAGTGACCCTTGTGTCTTTAAAATCAAGCAAGGACAAAAAAAACCTATTTCTGTGTGACTAGACAATCTCCATGACAACTGGAAAACTATATTTAAAGGAAAGCCATGAAGGAGTTTCTTGGAAGCAAGAAAGTGGTACATGTTTCTGTAATTTAATGTGAATTTGACACGACATTTACTACCTAATTAAGAAGCCAGGATTAATTATAATTGTTCATTTGGAAACTTTTGTAGAATCTTGCTTACAAAAGGGTGTTTTGATTAAATGTGAGTTACAATTCAAAGGGGACATCTCAAGGAACACTTTGCACTTTCAATAATATATTTGGTGAAATGTCCTAATAAGTGAGCTTCTTAGTTAAAGCATTAAAACGAAAAGGTTGTTCTGCTCTTTAACCCCCGGTGCGGACATGCTGAGCTGCATGCACACAGAAGAATGTACCCCCGGTGCTGCAGATAGAACCAAAGGCTTCCCACTTTGCCTGGAGGACGGACCTCGATCAATCAGTGGACTCCAGACCAGCGGCGCCCATCACACCAACGTGGCTCAACACGTCGTTGAAGGCGTAATCTGCCAACCGCCTGTCACTTTCAAACATACTAACGCGTTTAGTCACGTTAGATAAAAAAAATACATTTAGATTGATATAGTTCCAATGCTGTTAAATGTTTATTTATATCAGTCATATTACAGACACTTGTACAAGGTGGCACATGAAATGTTAAAACCCAAACTCTTAAATTATGAATATATGGCCAGAAAATACTTTTTCACTTACAACCATTTAACTATAAAATAGTTTCTATATATGTAAATCATATTCGTTTAATGTCAATTTTGAAGCTCAAATATGTGAGAAGCTTCAGAATCAGTTCTGACGGATGCCTACAGTGACTGACTTCCACACACATCGGAAGACGCAGGACTGCATCAAATGTCAATTTGTCTGCATCAATAAGCCAGACGGGAGGTAGATTTTGTTTTCTCCGTGTCTGGGATGTTTCACATCAGCAACATTATCCATCTACCACGTTTTCATTTCCTATTAAAGTGAAGGGTCTACAGTGGAGAGTGGAAACCCTGCAGCTCTCTTCCACCACTCAGAGTTAATAGAAGTTAACAGACAGTAATGGGACTACAAAACATACATTGGACTAGATCGCCGTCAGGGTTTTAAGGGCAAACCAGTATAATAATATTTTCTTTTTCACATGTGATCCATTTCTGGCTCTTTAGCGTTTTTCACTGTACAGAATTGTCAAACCGGCCTCTGCGTTACAACTCACAGGGGTGTTCGTCTCGCCATTAGGAGAGGCGTCGTGTGTGGACCTGCTATCTGTACGCGAGGGATGAATACTCGCCGAACTTGAATACAACAGTAAAACCCGGCTGAGCCGAAAGCTGAGGGCTCCTTTGCTTCCATTCGCAAGAGAGACAAAACCATTTTTGTCCGCTTTCATTAACCCCCTGTAGCAGTTACCACCATAGAGCACCACGCAGGGCTCACTCCCTCCGAAGGGCTCGTTCACTTCTGGGGCGGTGAGGCCTGTGGAAGCTTTTACTTGCGTTGAAGCGGACTTATAAGAGGTGTGAAAGAGGAGAAGTTTCTCTCCTGAGACAGAGTCCTAAGTACTACACGGATAGAGGAGCTAGCACATCCTTGTTCCTTGGCCCCTTCGGGGGGTGGAGAAAGAAAAAACAACCTCCAGCCACACAGCAAAGCTGCATGCAGCCGGAGAAGTTGGGGTCCTTTTAAGTAGGATTTCATGTTTATTTGGACAAACTGCATTTTACAGCACAGACGGCCTGTGCAGAGCCACGAGAAACAGATACGGGGACTTGACTCATGAGGGGAAGGTATTCTGCCTGTAAAAGCTTGCAGGCAATTACCGTCACTGAGCAGATTTACAGCCCCGGTGCTCAACAATCGCCCGTTGCCTGCGTTCAGCAGGCGTTTCTCTTGCAGCGACAGACATTGAAGAGCGTTGTTGAACCCGCAGGGTCTTAAGGGACACAAACAGAAAAATATCACGTATCAGTATGAGATGAAGGCTGGAGGTGGTGCAGGATAAACGGTGGAGGTTTTAACACAGCAGGAGACACTAGACATAAACAGTCCAAGAGACAGCTGTAAGCCATCAAAGGGGGGGGGGGGCAGCCCCCAGTCCAGGTAACATGACTAACCCATTAGTCGTTACACAAAGTTGTTGGTGTTTAAGAAAGCGGCCAAATCCGTGTCCAGTTGGACTTTGGACATTCTTCGGGTGAGCTCACGATACCTCCCCACATCCACCAGGGGGCTCAACCTCGTCTTACTCCTCTCCACGTCCCCCTGAAAAGCCTCCCTACGCCTCTGGAGCTCCTCCACGGAACCTGGCTGAGGGGTCTCCCCGTGTCCAAGACTCTTTTTCTCCTCCTCCTTCTCTTCTTCCTCCTCTTCACAAAGTAGCAACGAAACGCCGTCTCTGAGGGACACCAACTCTTTCTCCAGAGCCAAAGACAATATTTGAGCTGCACCCTGTCCTCTTGTACCTTTGACAGACTGGATGGAGCAGCAGGCAGGGAGGTGGGCCAACAGAGAGTCCAGCAACTGGAGCGCCTGCAGCTGGCTGCCAAGGAACAACAAAGCCACAATCTGCAGGTTATTATGACTAAATGGAAACAGGATTTTTGAAGATTTAGGTATTTTTGATCATTTGTTAGCTACTTTATACCACCTGCCCTGTCAGAGTTTCAATTTGTTTAATTCATAGAGCCAAAAATCATAAATTAGCCTGAGGGTTTTAGAATAAGCACACATGCGTCTTCCTCTTTCCCAAAAGATTCACATCGGCACAAAAAAACAAAACTAAAAACATGCATTTGCTAATTTGGACGTTTTGCTTAATGCGAACAGTAACTTTGTGAACGGAAATAGTTTATAAATACATCGTTTCACTTTATGAACTGATGATGAGATCGTGGCCAAAATGCCATTCCATCCAAGCCTCCATCAACACAGTCTGCTTAATATCGCCATCTCAAAACTGAAATGATTTACCTGGAGTGGACAGACAGTTCCCCCTGGAAAGGGCTCATCTGATGCCAGTGAAGCAGCATGAGAGCAGATGGTCCTGAAGAATTCAACAGTAGATACTGAGGACTCACTTCTATCCTCCTACAACCTGCTATTTTTTGAATCCAGCCATCTATATCGTCTAAACTGTGATCAGGGGAGTGTATGCGGAAGACCCGCTGATCCCGCAGTGCCATCAGGCTCAGAAAGTCCTCTTCTGTGTCATCTGGGCACAAAAAGAAGACAACAATAACATATGTGTCAAAAAGGACAGCACGAGTTGCAGGCATTTGTGACTTTACCTGTTTGGAGTTCTGGTTTTATCAAGAGCCGCGTTTGGAAATTATGGTTGATGTCTAGAGCAACATCTCCGCAATGCACAACAACCGGTGTTGGGTTGCTCACAACGGCAAAGGCGTCTCGTCCCTGGACGTAATGGAGCATGACACGGCACTTTGCACAGCCAGAGTTCAACAGAGGTGTCAGCCTGGTCACAGCAGTCACAGCCAATCTGCATGCGTTGAGCTCATCGGCTCTCCCGGCAAGGTGCTGCTTGCTTCTTTTGGCTGCAGGCTCTAAGAATGTGTAGGCAGTGGAGGAGGAGGAGGGGGAGGAGGAGCTAGACGAAGAGCAGGGCGCAGGGAGACAGAACACTTGGCTCTGGGCCTCGATGACTGCAGGTGTTGAGCCCTGACCCGTCTCCGTCAGGATGGATAAGCTCACACTGGCCACTGGTCTGAGAAAGCAATAACACATCACCAACCATCAGATATCACCTGGACAGTGGGTAATCGCACTGAAAATAAGATATACACACACCCCCTCCATGAATGTGTGTACTCGGCTGGACAAGAGCGCCCTTCAAAACAGCAATAAGTGGGATCTTGAGCGAGTCAGAAGAAGAAGATCCCCAAAAGAAAGAACAACCGACAGGAAGAGGTTGGTGGAGAAATCTACAGTTTCTTGATCCTAAACACTCGTTGCCATGGTGAACGTCTAGCCAGGTCGGGGGCAATCAGCGAGTCGAAAAAGAAAAATCATTAGTCCGCTAGAAGTAATTGTTTACACAGATTACGAGACGGACATTGATGGGAATCATTAATCGAAACTTTAAGGTCTGTGAAGACAAGTAAGAATTGTACTTCCCAGATGTGATGAACACAAGAAAACGACGCCGTAATGTCAAATCAAAAGAATCATCTTTACGTGGAGCTGTCGGTAGATAGTATCACTCCCACAACCAGTCGCTCCTCGGCGACGCGATGCCACAGCTTGTCAACTTGAGGTTTTGAAGACACGGCTGGCATGTCTGGCATCTTTTCATCCTTTGACTCATCATCATCCTCTTCCTCTTCCTCCCACAGAGCAATGAGGCCTTCCTGGACAGACAGAGCAGAGACTGTAATCATCGACAACATGAGTGTGACAGCAACGGTGGTTTGAGTCAAACAACTCATTTTTTTTCAGATACACATGTACCGGATATTTAAAATACTATTTAGGGGAGGAAAAAGCTGATATTCTGTCAAAACAGTTTGATCATTCCGATTAAAAAGAAGCTTTTATAAAAGCTTTTGTCCGGGGTCACGGACACCATTTGTTGGGGGTATTTGTTGCATCAGCAAGGAAGTGACAGCAATCGCAAACAAAACAAACAACAAAAGTATTGAAAAGCATAATAATGTAGAAGTAGAGGACAAGAAAACAACAACAGCAGCTTTTGTTTTGACTGTCTGAGATTCCTTTGGCAAGATGAGGAACCTCGACTGCATCGGGCGACCTGCAAGATGCCATTTAAAATATGACAACTTCTCTTTTTGAACTATATCTTGCCGACATTCCATAATAACGTAAATGCTTTGGAAAAAAAGCAAATATCAGAATGATGTCGACACATTAAGATTGAGAGAGTTGCTGGTCTGATTCCCATTACCTCTAGTTCATTGACCGAGCTTAATACTTGATACATAACGGGCGTGGGGTTGTCAGAGTGGAGTCCCTTCGTACGTGTACTGTACCTGCTCATGCCGGGTGAGAGGAGTCTTTTCTTCTGAGACGGCGTCGGTGAGGGCTCGGATCGACTGCTGCAGAACTCTGTCCTTCACTCTCATCTCTGCCCGGAGCTCCTGGAGCACGGTCAATCCACTCTAAATGACATCGGATTTGATTGAGAGTTAATAGATAAGACGCACAATGGGTGCCCGAGTCGTAGGGGGGGAAAGGTCTCTTTCAAAATGTCTCATATGAATTACAATCCATTATGCAGCACAACGGTTTGATACGTATCAAATTGGATCATTATCAAAATTTCAGTATATAAATATCACTGTGTATGTAGAACTACATGTCAAATAGACAAATCAATGTTATGCATACATGCAAAACAAAACCTCAATCAAAATTTTATTTCTTGGTGGCGTTAACGGAGTTATTGTGACTTGTGCTGCCACTCCAGCAGTGGCTTATAAATGTAGGCTCGCCTGCAGTCTGGACTCCAAAGCTCGGAGGGTGAGGAGATCGTTCTCTGGCGGAGGAGGTGGTGTCCTTGGCGCCCCGCTGTCCTGCCCACGCTGAAATGAGCATTGTCAATGAATCACAATGACCAGCGTCTGATGTTCAATCTGTCAGCGGACACGGCTCAGACGCCCTGCACACGAGGAGTGAGCGCGTTGGCTTACAGAATATGAAATGCCACAGAGGTCGGTGAGGAGAAACCTTCTCATGGGTTGTTCCGTCACGCCACCATCCTCGAAAACCAACAGCATTTGGTCTGTTCCACATCCCAGGAAGTCCTCCACATGGACAGAGGTGACACCTGACCAGCGGGAGGCTATCTGGGGAGAGGGTTCAACATGGTAGGTTTGTTACCAACACATAACTAAAACGTAGGTATTAAAAAAAACACTAAATTTAAACCTTACGGTTTACCTGAAATGTGTCCTTCCACAGGGCACACACGTGCCCCTGGTGAAAAGACACCACGAACAGGCAGCCATGTCTTCCTGCGTTGACCAACTGAATGAGTTCAGGCCGGTCGAAAGGAAGCTGACACGCTTCTTTCACGGCGCCGTTCTCAAAAGAAACCAGTTGCCGATTGGAAGTCGCCGCGACCACGGCGGATTTCAGCACGCCGTCCACTTTGTCCGCGGACAGCGCGAGGACGCACCGCGTGATGCCCACGTATTGGTGCGGCATTATCACACTGCCGTCGAACACCTGTGCGCTTTCAACAAAACACCCGGCGGCACGAGCGCCACCGGGGCACCGGCCCGGATGGGCCGGAAGTCCGAGAACGAACACCTGGTCCTCGTGGAGCGGGAGTTCTCCAATAACACAGTGGGACAACTCAAGGGGCGTCCGCCTGACCTCTGCGGTCCGCGGGGAGGCGTGGAAGACGCCACCGGCGTGACTCCACGCCACGGTGGGGCCTCGCAGGATGGACACGTTCTCCCGCATTTCATAAGGCAGTTTAAACTGCACGCAGGTCTCCAGGCGGCCGGAGCCGCTCAGCGCGAGCAGACTGTAGTGGAAGCTCGCGCCGCTCGCGCTCTTGCGCGTCACCAGAACGCACGGCGCGCGCACTCTCGTCGCAACGTTCGCGGCGCACTCGCACGCCACAATGTCGACGCGCGCCGACCGCTTCCCGGCGGCGACGACGGCCGCCCCGTCGTCCGCCTTCACGAACGCGTTGGCTTCGCGCGCGAACGAAAGGCTGCGGAATATTAACTCACTTCTCTCGCTGTCCCTCGTGGCCGAGGCTCGTTTGCAGTCAAATGAGATTATCTTTCCCCGCGCGGAAAGTCGATGGGGATTTCGAGAGCAATCTTCCGAGAGCGATCTCTCCATTATGCTCCGAGGAGGCTCCGGGCGACTGCCGGGTTCGATCCCTCCTCATTGGCAGCGTAATTTAGCGTGATTGCCAAGTAGGGAGCTGTCACTTTGTTGACGAGAGTCTCGCCAACGAGTAACATTTGTATACTGTCTCGTGAGAGAGAGGAGAAACGCATCCGTATTCAACGTATTTCTCCGCGAGCTGTTACACACTCGTAGCGTCGCGCCAAGCAATGTTGAACGCTTCCTTGAAGGCCCGGTGCATTGTGGGTAAGACGCCGGTAAACGGCAGTGAGCGAACGACATCAAACTAAAGTGTTTACCTCGCTTGTCATTCTCAAACGAGTCACTCGTGATTGGGCAAACATGTCTCCCGTAGCGTTGAATAAAGCCCAAAGCTCACTCTCTTCAAACTGTAGCTACAGTCGATGAATCAAACTAACCGCGTGGAGGGGGCGTGGCCACGCACCGAGCCAAAATGGCGACGAAGAGACGCCAGTGACACACTCATTCACATCACTCAGTCCACCGTTAGCCGAGGAGCGCTAGCTAAGCTAAGCTAGCTCAACGGGGAACTAGCACAGAGGGACACGGGAAACCTGATGATAAGTTGAAGATGGCCGAACTTGAGCAGCACGAAGGAGCGCAGGTATCGACGGGTACCGTTATTAATTAGTCATCTGTTAAAGCCGCAGACGCGTCTATAACCTTAAACTTTAATGAACTCACTCTTGTGTTGGCAGGATCTCGAGAAGAAAATTGAGGAGACGAGACTGAGATTCAACAATGAGTTCCTCCAAGGTAAATACAGACATTGTGAAGAAGATGGCGTTAACTTTCACTTTGACCAATACTTGCTTTTTAAATGTATTTTTGTGGGGGTGTTACGGTCAGCTTCGTGCTCTTTTAAACGTCGTATTGCTTAACTCGCCACAAGTTAGCTGAACTCCTAATGTGTTAATAACGTCATGACCTAAGCTACATGCCCAGAGCCGATAAGCTGCAGCAGATAACCTTAACTATCTTAGCTAACATTAGCTCAGTGTTGCCACATGTAACGTTAGTTAACAGGTTGGACCCCACACGGCTCCAACATGGTGCTCTCACACTATAACGTCACCCTGTCTAAACAAACATTAAACAAACATTGTAGCACTTAAATTGCAGTTATAATGGCTCTTTATCTATAGCAAGTTGTACATCGGTTTATTTGATGAAATGGCACTTTCTTGTTCTTCTGGGTTTGTATCCTTGTGGTTTAATGCACTTATTGTGAGTCGCTTTGGATAAAAGCGTTCTCCTGTTCTCCTGGTGAACTTTAACCTCGTTTGCAGCACAACGGGGTCACTGGAGATTGAAAGTGAAACCTTGTACTTGACCTCTTTGTATTCGGAGTGTCGGATGTGATTGAGCCTTTTGTTGTGTTTACAGATTCAACAGACAAATATGACTCCCAAGATGTGGAAAGGCTTCAAAAAGATGACTCTCTGGTTGAGGGCTACCTGCAGTGGAGACTTTACGTAGTTGATGATGCCTTAAAAATGATCGATGAAAGTCTTCAGTGGAGAAAGGAATACGGTGTGAATGGTAAGAGACACAAGAGAAACACAATTTGATACGCTCACTTCATTTATTCATAAAACGCTTAGTTTCTTATCTTTAATTTGAACTATTTACGTTATTTACATTTTTTAACTATTACATAAATCCTGATTAATCCAACCAGTTCTTTTGATAGCTGTTTTTTTTAAATGTATTTTTTTATATCGGTTGCTTAAGGCACGGCGGTCAGTACCTAAATGTATTGCATGTCAAAATCCAAGCCTGTCAAAAGGTAGAACTGTTGACATTTCCACATTTGGACTGTTTACAAGCTTGTGACGCACATCGGTGGTCGTGCGTTTGCTGCGCTGTGATGAATCCAGACACGGGGTCATTGTGTGTTTTAAACACCCGCGTCGCCGTGCCCAAGCTTCCCCTGCGAACAATCCCCCTCATTCTGCTTTCTGAAGCATTTATAAGAGTGTTTGTTTGTTTGTCTTTAATCCAGTAAATTCAATTCGTCGGCCAGTTGTAGTTTTGTAAATTTGATTTGTTCAAGTCATTACTGTGCAGGGGCATCAGGGGCAGAATTAACAGGGCCAAGTGTTGTTACTTTGTCCATCAAGGTGCTGAGGACGACTGTGTCACAGTATTTCTGTCAACTCCACCAGTGTCAGATAATGGAAAGGCTGGGATCCATAACATTAAAACTATTTGTTGTCATTTATGTGCTGGTCAAATAAGCCTTTTACTAGATATTTCCTGGATTTTATGAAAAATATAAAAACATTCCTGGGAAACGTATACTTTGGGTTTTTTTTTCTCTCAAGGAGTAGTTGAATAGTATTCAAATAGTCTGTAAAACCTTACAAACTACCATAGCTCATTGCATAAAATGCCCTCCTCTCTATAGCTCATATTGTACAGTACCTTTATAAACCGAGTGCAATTTGTGTCTGCCTGTGTCTTTCAGATATCACTGAGAGCACCATTCCAAAATGGATGTTTGAAATTGGTGCCGTCTACCTCCACGGCTACGACAAAGAGGGCAACAAGCTTTGTATGTTCATGTTTTATCACACACAGTAGACCGTGATGCTGTATTTAGATATCTGTTCCATCTCAAAGCGTGTTCCCAGCAAAGAATCTTTTAGACAAATTCAAAACTACTAAAAGCCTAATTAATGCTTTTAATACTTTTTTTTTATTTTATTTTTTAGTCTGGTTCAAGGTAAAGCTGCACGTTAAGGATGCAAAAACGATCATGGACAAGAAGAAGTACGTCGCCTTCTGGCTGGAGCGGTATGCAAAGAAAGAACCGGGGATGCCACTCACTGTTGTGTTCGACATGGCCGAGTCCGGCCTCGGTAACATTGTAAGTCCAAGTACATGTTTTTTCTTTTCTTTCTTTTTTTAAAGTCCGTAACTTTCAATTTGTCATGCTCCCCTATTTTTAATTATTGTTCTTAACATCCCGGCCTCCAATACAAAACCTATATTGCATCTTCATTACCTCTTTATTGGATAAGCTTTACATTTGTTAGAAAAGGTTTATTTCCTTTTGTTACTGTCATTGAAATGCACTTGAGCGGCCTTAATTGTTCCTGCTGCTTGAGCTGTGGACTTGCAGGGACTGACGCTCTTTGATGGTTTTGCACATCTGAGATTAAAGCAAACTTTAAATCCCATTGGTCAATTTTGAGTGTGCCGTCTAATCCGTGGACTCACGGTGTCGCAGGGACAGGAGCTCTCTGTCAGAAAGAGACGCGTCCTCCCAGAGAAATGTCTCAATTAAGTACAAATAAACGTGCACCAGCACGGCGGAAATGATGAATGGCCATCCAACCCAAATATGAAATGAGTAGATTAGAAGAACTGTTTGGAAAGCAAACTAGCATCCACGGCAGGAGCAAGCGTAGCCGGTATGATCTCATTACGCCTCGGGGGAGAGTCTCCCGCATAGCAATGAGGCTTCCAGCCAATTATTGGGTTCAGCCAGGCCGTCGAGGCCCAATCTATTGACATATCTGCTGTTCTGCTGATGATTAACGTAAAATAGGAAGCGAGACATTAATCATATTCACCGTTTACGGTGAGGCAAGTGGCTTTGCGTGCTTTTAGTTGAGCTTTCTAATGAGCATTTGTTAGCAATGATTGGATGCACCGTCTGAGTGTGGAGAGGGTTATTGGTTTGGATCAGACGCCTGTTGTTTTTTAAATGGAAGAATTCATTTTAAGCGTAAGCCGTTCCATGTAAAGTCTTTCTTTTTGCTTGATTTTTAGGGAGTATTTAACAGCAAGTACCATACTTTAGCTATATTGCAAATGGTTCATGACCTGAATGTATGTGGCATTGTTCAGAAACTCCAGGTTTCTCAGACAGTATTTGGGGGAAGCTGAGTGGGTCATAAGAGCAGTTTGCAATTTTTGGTTAAGTGGATCACCACAAATCTATAGCGCTTAAGAACAAATAAACATCAAACTCTTTTAAAAACATTGTCATTTTATATTTGATGTTGTTATGCTTAAACCCAGATTTTCCATTTTGTGTTTCAGGACATGGAGTTTGTGAAGTACATCATCAATTGTTTCAAAGTCTATTATCCAAAGTTTTTATGTAGGTAACAAAAGTTGTTCTAAAAGCACAACACATGTATTTCAATATTCATTTTATTTGTCCATTAAAGTCAAACCTTAAAGGATCATTCTGATGGGAAAGCTTTGAATTTTTTTCGTTTCAGCCAAAATGATCATTGTGGATATGCCTTGGATCATGAATGGTGAGAATGAGCCTGTCCATCACATTTGCTGTTAATAATACTCATCGGATCAGAAATGTTAAGCTCAATGTTTCTGTCTCAGCCGCATGGAAGATCGTGAAGTCGTGGTTGGGTCCCGAGGCCATCAGCAAGCTCAAGTTCGCCTCCAGATCTGAGATCCAAGGATTCATTGGCCTGGAGTACCTACCAGCGCACATGGGTGGAACGGTGTGTATTATGCCGCTTTTTGAATGAATGTTCATCAGTCACAAAAGAGGCGGTCCTTACTACAATGGTGATTCACAAATTATTCAATCAAATCAAAGGTATTCAGAATTTTTGTAAGTAGATTTCTTGAGTGGTTTTGTAGTGTACATTTTAGTGTGTGCTTGTAGATCTCCGCACTAGAACTGTTCAACAGAAGTCCTCCTGCTTATAAGCCATATTTTATTTCCATTCATGTGGAAGTCACGGTCCTGTCAGAACGAAATTGCGTATTTCAACCTAAACTCGACAATGGACACTTTTTAAAACCCCCCGCGTGTAATCGTATAATTCAACTGGCTGCGTTCCAGGACCCTTTCAAGTACAGCTACCCACCTCTTCCCGACGACGACTTCCAAACGCCCACCTGTGAAAATGGACCAATTGCCGACGAGGACGAGGCGGAGAGCAAAGAGGGTGAAATTGACAGCAAAGATGCCCTTGAGTCCAGCTTCAGCTCTGAGATTGCGGTTAAGCCCAAAAAGGTACATTTTCTATCCAGTAAAATGTGTGAAGACGAATGTCAAAGTGTTTTAAAAAAAAAAAAATCCCTGACACCCTCGTACACGGTGTTCATTTTGCTGAAATGTGAGGCAGGACTGCTGCACGTGTTGCGTAAGTCTCCCTTACCAGGACACGCTTTGATCTCCCTGTTTATCAAAATGTTGGTGGGTCAGCAGTAAAATTGGTAAGCGAGTGTGATGAGATCCGGCTGATGCCGAAACTAGTTAATGGGGGTTTGATTGAGCCTCCGTTAATTAAGACTGGGGCATTTCAGGCCGCGGTGCTCTTTATAGATGCAACGTTAGTTAATATATATTCCCGATGGCCGGGGCGTCACTCACTCTATGAATTGAGCCGGAGATTACAGGATGTAATCAGGCCGCGCCGAGTAGACTGTGGATTAAGTGGCGAGTAATGTCCCCGATTCGAAAGACCTCGAGCTCTCGCTCGTTGTCCCTGTGAAGGTGACTCTTAGTATCTCCGGCTCCAATTAAATGTGGCCAACAGAGCCCAAGTGTCTCCTCTCATCCTCTCCTACGCTCAAGTTGTCACGTCAGCTACTTGTGGCTGTGTAGCTTTTTTATTTCTTTACTTTCTGGGGCGGAAACCGCTGGCAAGCCGCCGGAGAGCGCTTCATCCACGCCGATGTCACCGACGCCTCTTCTGAAAAAGTTGAGAGATTTTGACTTTAAAAAAAGAAAATGTCTGGAGCGCTGTGTGAAGGAGAAGCTGGGTGCGGCGCTTTTATTTTCTTTCTCACCGAGAACAATCGGAGGGAAAAGACGCTTTGTAGAAACTCCGCCTAAGCTCTTTGCCGCTGCAGCCGGCTTCTTCTCCCAGCTCGGTGCGGCACGTTCACCGAGGTGTCCCACGGGCTTCGTCTTGAATATCACTGCAACTCCCGTCAAGCTCCCAAACTTCACACACGTTCCAGACTGCAGTGTGACCCACATATTTCACCCGACAATCGATCCCCTGCGCAATCACTTATTTAGCTCATGTTGTGCTCGGCATCAATGAAGGCCTGTTGGAGGAAGGGCTGCAATCAGGGGTTGCATATATTGTTGTTTAGTGTTGCAGCTGTTATTTACAGATAGTGTGCGGTGTTGCTGCTCAGAGTGGGGATGATTTTGGAGTCAGCCTACAGTTTCATCTAGGACATGAACTGGCTTGAATTTGATTTGGGGGGGGGGGGGGGGGGGCGGGGCTGTAGCCTGCTGATCTGCCAATAGGACACAAAGTGCATTTGTTGGAGAGGTGCTGCGTAACTACAGCTACTCCCATGAGTCGCCCTGAGCCCCGACAAACAGTGCTGCTATTGTTGGTCAACACCACATTGGTCATGCTCAGCCGGTTTTAGATTCACACAAAGGAGATATGCAAATCAGCCGCTTGTTGGCCTCAAAATGAACCCCCGGGCACGCGTTCAAAGTTGATGAATGCTTGTGAAATACGCAGAATCACCTCGCGCTCTGCCGTGTTGTCGGCCTCAGTTTTATATGGAGCTGTATTATGAAATTCACTTTTCACGAGTGCTGTAACTAAACCGTAGTGTCAGGACATTTAATTGCAATTAATCGAGGTCCTGTTGGAGAATTTCGTCATGCAAAGCTGCAGAACATCACAATGTCACATTTGCGCTGTGATATAATTTAATTAATTGAATAATCTTGTTATAGTGATAGACATATAATAGTTGTCCATTGTTGGTTACCCTTCTGTCAGCAGACATCCCTTCTCCGGCTGTTTGGTCTCTCTCGTTTGCTCCCCTGTGTGGAAATATCGCACCGGGGTCGAGGGCGTCGCTTATCGAAATGCACGTCATTGATTGGCCGATCAGCCTCACCTGATGTGATTTGCAAGGCGTATAATTGGTCGACGTGTTTCCCAACCCACCGAACCTGCACCGGTTTAAATAGACGCGCTCCCTGGAGACGTAGTAATTCTCTGGGAGTGATTCCCCTGCATCCCAACCCGAGTCCCCCCGGCCTCCAGGCAGCGCTGTGCTGATACCTGGGCGGCTTCAGGAAGCTAATTGCCTTTCTCTCTGTTTTCAAACAAGGGCTGGAGGTGGTAAGGCAGTGTAGGAACACACCCACACGAGAAGATTTCCACCGGCTGGAAAGGCAGGTGTGCTCACGTGACTGAATTATTGTGAGCGCACGTCCTGCACAGTCGACTGACGTCATCTCAACCCTGCACATGTGCACTACCCCCCCCCCCCCCTTTAACCTGTCCTGGACCTCACATTTCAATTTTGCGCCCCATAAATAGTGTTGCACTGTTGAAAACCCCCAACATTTCTGACTTTGTTATGAAGGATTGTAGGCTAAGTGGAACGTAGCCTACCTTTTGCACTACTGTACGGAAACACTCCAAGCAATTTCTGTCAAACTCCATGAGAACGATCCGCATTAAATGTGAGCTCGTCTGTATTCTTTTAAAGTCCAATTTTAAAAACTACTCATTGTGAGTGTAGACCAAGTTATTAACACTCTGCTTTAAATCTTCAACCAAGTTTTGCCTTTGAGGCATTGTTTTGAACAAGAGGTTTGTGTGCCTTGAGAGCTGATATCGTCTTTGTCTCATGAGTGCTTATCATGTAGGTGATTATTTTGATCTGTACTGTATAATCAAATGACACTCATTTCATTACCATTTCAGTATAGAAAATGTATAATCGTCAGTGATTTATTTGTGTCTTTGAGTCACATATTTTACACTTTGTATAGAAATTATGACTTTCTCAAATCAGTCAATTCATTTGTACGTGATTTTCTTTTCTCAAAATAACTCCATTCATTCTGTTGTTTGTTAATCAATAATGGAAATATGTTTCCATGAGCCTCCACTAATACAATCAAAGCTATGCAAAAACACTGCTATTTTATTAATAATTAACTGCGTGACACTGCCTATTTCAATGATGCTGTTTTTACTAATTAAGAACTTTGTTTTATTTTTTTCTACTGCCATTATAATCTAATTGTGATAAACTTGCTCTTTTAAAATGAAGAATAAATGGAGACATTTCATCAGCAGCTGGTTATCTCTCGATGTCTTCATTGTGGCAGTTGCATGACAGTCGGCCTTTAAACTAAGACGACATGTTGTGCATGTTTGCATCACATGTACAGTCCGCTCACCTTTGGGGCCCCCCCCTCGCACAATGCACTCATCTTGTGCCAGCAACACCGAAAGCAACCATTTCTCCAACTTGATTTAGTCTCAGTGCAAACATGCCACAGTTTCTGTCCCGTCATCTGTTTTGTGATCTTGTGATCCGTTGATGGACGATTTGCATCAAAGTGGACGGAGGATTTTGCTGAAGTGAAAGTATCCCGTGTCTCAGGGATACGATGACACTTGGTCTCAGTCAGCTGCTTCTTTTTTTGGTCACGGTTATTTGTTAGTGAGGCGAAAGGGGAACAGGGCTGCGGAGTCATCATGGGGTTTTCTCAGTCAAACAACATGTATTTTGGCAACGTGACACTTGAGAAGAACCACTTATTAATCATTACACACGACCCTTGAGCACTTCATTGACTGATAGCCTTCTCAGAAAGCAGGGCAAGGGCCAAGCATTTTGTTTTCCCGAAACGATAACACTCCTGTGCTCTGTTCTCCGTTTTTAATGATGTGCCGTGTTGTCGTTTCAGGTGAATTTCTTGGAAGACAGCCTGAGGTGCGAGGACAACGATAAGGGAGAGAGTTCCAGGACCAAAGGGGCCAGGAAGCCACTCACCACCTTCAAAGGCCCCCTGCTCGACGTCAGGTGGGCTTCCCGCCGCTCGTCCTTATTCAGCACTTCCCTTCTGAGTGTGACGGGCGACCTCTGGTCACCACGTGGCAGTCGTTCAGGGGAGCAATACGTTGTCTCCGCCCTTGAGTTGACAAGCTCTCAAAAACTACATTCAACGCAATCAACGGTTCCTGATCAGCTGATCTATTACAACAGTGGTTTAGCTTTTTGTAACCGTGCCCACATTTGAACGTGTGAGTGACCCATATTACGCAAGAAGTGTCATTTCTATTGCTTCACACAAATTGGCAACAAACTCCTCTTTTGTGTTGTGGCTTGAAAGCGTGGAGTCGTTATTGATGTGTTTTTGTACTTCTCTCATAGCCCGATTGATCGGGTCACATGTGGGCCGGAATTCAGATAGTCGGAAAGACGGCGGCCGATAATCCATTAACCTTTTGAGGGAGAGGAGCATTTGTCGCCTCTTAACGCCTCGTATGTGTATTTTAGTTGAGCTGTCGTTGGATTACAAAGTGGGTGTCGACTTCCAGAGCGTTCGTCGCGAAGCAGTAAAATGAAATGAGCCAATGCGACGACGTAGTCGAGGTACTCGGCGCTGCACTCGCCCACCGTGTGATATTACTCCCCGTTTTCATGAATAAGTTCCGTCGAGTTCTGGTTTTACAGTAATGGCTTTGATGTGAGATTTGTGACGGCTCTGGGCTGTGAATTATAGTGATAAGTAGATTTAAATGCAATCATGTTTCTGAGTTGTGTTTGCCTTAATTCGAGGCTGAGGGGGGAAAGTTAACGTCAGACTTTCTGGCTGTTTTACTGGGGAGAAGAACCCAGGGAAACATTGCAAAGGGAAAATAAACCTTTTTGTTCAGTTTAAGTTGACGAAACATGGCCCGAGCTGCATCAATGAGGAGCTTTTCACACACTGGGCAGATAATCCATTTGGTAATTTCTTCTTGGCAAAGTTAAAGACCCTGATGCAAAAAAAAAGTGTTCACTGAGGTTGGCAAATGTAATACTATTTATAGACCGGCTTCGAGAAGCAAGTTTGCCAACATTTTTCCTTGCGATGATCCAGATGAACAACATCTTTCCAAACAGTTGTTTTTGTTTTAACAAGGGCTCAGCCTACCAGCAGCTGTCAATCAAACACCAACAGGGACACGCCCCTCTAGTCACAGAGAAGCGATTCCTGATATTTTCCCAAAGTCCTCTGGGGGTTTTTTTGTTTTGTTTTTAACCTAGTAACTTTTTTATTTTCTAAAAGATGTCATTCTAGTTGTACTTTGAACCTTCCTCACGTATTTCTGGTGAGGGTGGGTGGCTTCTGTCCATCCCTCCTTTGCAGTTCTCCCTAAGCTTTCTCCTCCCCGTCGGAGGGCTTTATTTTCATTTTTGGGGGAAATGTTCCCCGTGGTGACGTGAGGGTTTCGGCACAGAGGATTCTGCATGTGTACAGATTTTAACGCCCTCTGAGACAAACTTTTGATTTTGGGCCATAGAAAATCCCCGAAAGTGAATAACTTCGTGCTTGTTAGAGGCCCCATATGTGGCTTTTCAACTGAAAGTCTTATAATCAGCAAGCCGGAGCGCTTAGAGAGAGGTTTCCAGAATCTTACCACAGCGTGATCTCTGCTGAAGGCAATTAACCGGGCCGACGGGTTCATCGTCGCCTCCTATGACTCGTATCAGTTGGAATGTGATTCATACTCGTGGAAAACAAAAACGTCTCACCCGAAATGATACTATTATCATTAAACTCAGGGAATGCCTTTGTGGTTCAACCTTGGAAGGTGTTTTTAACACATTTCTTTACAAAACCTTGCCGCCAGGTACAGGAATTGTAGCAGGCCAATCTGTATTAATAAAATACCCCAGAAAAACATCAAGCAAGTAGTCTGTGAAGTAAATGAAAACGACTCCATGCATCTAGTTATTGAATCTGCACTGAATTTCTCCAACAGACACGATTCTCCTTCTTCACCCGTAATGTTTGTTTTTTTGATCCCCCCTGCAGCCCCGCAGAGGAGCTCTGCTTTGGTTCTGCAGAGACGGAGAAGAAATGCCTCATTATCCTGGGCAATGTTACCAAAAATCAGCTGGCCTTCAAGGTGAGTGAGTGATGACGTGAGTTGACTAAACGGATTTTACACTTCTACATGGATTATATTTGATCAACAGAAACTACATTTATATAATTGATCATCAGTTGAATGCAATCGTGAAGCAAAATTTCAATTTCTGTTTTCTGGTGTCATAAATGTGAAGATTTGATCTTTTTTTCCCTTTTTGATATTTGATATTACAATTCAAATTTCTGTCAGAAAGATGTTGAGTTTAGGTGTGATAAATTAAGCATGCGATTTTCCTCCATAACAACATTTTAATGCAACGATAAGAATGAATGTCATTCATTTAAGTTGCCGCTGGCGTCTCCACAGGTACGAACCACGGCCCCCGAGAAGTACCGAGTGAAGCCCAGCAACAGCTGCTGTGACCCCGGCGCCTCGGTGGAGATAGTGGTGTCCTTACACGGAGGTACGGCACTTTAGCTCTGCACTCACAGCGCACTGTTGAACCGCCAGAATAATCAAACGCTCCGGCCCTCTTTACCTTCCTAAAGTGCTGGCAGCCACTTTTCTGTGCCTGACGTACATATTTCATGAGCGATAAGAGAATTGTCTCCCCGAAAGCAAATCCTCGGACAACTCTCGGCGCTGTGCGGGTTGAACCGCCTTTTTAAGCCCCGACATGTCAGCTGTATGTTGAGACCTGCTGCAAGTAACAGAGTCAATGTCTTTATACACTAATGCTGTGCTGGTTTCTTTTTCACTCAATGCTGTCATGTACATTTTTAAAAAATGTAGCTAAATATGTGCAACTGTTTCTTTCACAGTTACTGAAAACAAATGTTTCTCCGCAGGTTCTCAGGCCTCCCCACAGGACCGGTTTTTGGTCATGGCGGCCGAGATGGACAACGCTGGATCACAAGATCTCACACAGTTCTGGAAAGAAGTCCCAAAAGCCAAGGTCATGGAGCACAGGTAGGAGCCCCTTTCGTAGCCATGTCCAGTGAATCTGCTGACCGAGGACCACTCGGCCGCATATCTCATTGGCTTGTGACTTTCCCACAGATTGCGCTGTCAGGTTCTGGAAGGCGCTAAACAAGCAGCGAGCGCTCTCGGAGACGGCCCCGTGGAGAAAGGGGCCGCCGATCAGCAGGAATTTAGCAGCGCGGTGAGTTTCAATACATGTCAATACAGTCTGTACGCCACAACCGCTATTACATCTCTCAAGAGGTCCAGAGATCTCATGTTGAAACCATAAAGATGTAATTAATGTTTATTCTTTTCTTTTGTATTTCATAATCCAAAAACCTTTGACACGCAGGTACTGAATGATAACTTATACTTCACATCAGTAAGTACAACGTGGGTTTGTTAGTTTGTCTGTCCAGTAGCTGCTTGGTTTACATTCTTCAAGGCAAAGTTAAATAGATAAATAATGCAAACCTGCTGCAGAGCCGGAACGTTTTAACGTTTTAATGCTCTCAGTGAGAGAATGCGGGTGCTTTCAGAGCTGTAACAGAGAAGCAGTTAGCATAGCTTTGCATAGAGACTGGAGATAAGGGGGGAAACGGTAAGCCTGGCTCTGTCGCTTTTTAAATCCACTCCTCCTTCTGCCAATTAACACTGTATTTATGTTTCATCCGTGCACGAAAATAATTCTAAATGTATATTTCAGAGGTGGTGGTAGGTGTGTTTAGTAGAAAGCCATGCTAGTTGCCCCCCCCCCCCTCCCCCTCCTCCCAGTCCTCAGACTAAGCAAACTGCCTTTCTGCTCGAGCTCCAAACGTATCACACAGACACGAGAAGGAATCAACCTTCTCATCCAACGCGGAGCGAAATGGATTACTCGTATTTCACTCTGTTTCTCTCATTCATTGTACCTCCACAGCGTGATTTGTTTCTGCCACTTCCATTACACGGCTGTAGAATTGATAAACCAGGTCAGTGAACCAGTCTTTTTTTTTTTTTTCTCCACCAGCTCATGCGCCTGATGACCTGCAGCGCACGGACGGAGCAGAAGCTGAACGCGTGTCTGTGGGTGCAGAAGGTTCTCATTGGGCTGGTGCTGCTCCTCGTGGTGCTCAACCTGCTGTGTCTCCACCTGCTGATGGCTCCCCAGCGGCCGTCCTGACCCGCCACAGCTGCCTCCGTCTGTACCACAGACACACACACACACACACGCACACACAGGTTTCGGCTGGGTCACCGCTGACTCCCTGGGGGACGCTCCCCTCCCCCCGCGGGCTGTTGTCATGGAGGGGAGGAGGGACGTGTGAGTTGTTGTGAAGTCACTGTAGGAGGAGATTGTACTCGTCTCTTTTCAGGCACTCGAGGGTTTAGTGCAAAGGAGACCCTTTCAACAATGTGACATGAAATTATTGATGAGAAATGAATGTGTATTTATTGCAAAAGACACAATATCTAGGTATAAATTAGTTATTTTTTTGATCATAATGTACATTTTTTTTATATTATGTAAATCTCCAGAATATAAAATAAACTCTTTTTGTCAACTTATCTTTTACTGAACCTGTTTTTCTCTTCCTGTGATCAGCTCATAGCCTCTAAAAACAACATCTACACGCCGGCCTTCGTCCTGTGTAGATGTTTCGGTCACTCATTAGTCTTGTTCTGCAGTCTTCACAGCCTCTGATAAACCCTCATTAGCACAGAGGTGTCTTAATTGAAAACACGGCCGCGTACGACCTTCGCGAAACCTCTCCACGCTCCGACCGAGGAGCCACTTGAGATCTGTCTTCCGGCATCTCCTCTATTTGTTTTAATTACTCTGACACAGGCAAACTAAAAATACCAAAGCAATTACTGTGCGAGTACGAGGACGTGGCCCAACCCACTTGTAGCTTAGTGGGAAGCGCCGGTATCTGTAACAAGATCCCGCTCTGAGCGATCGGGACGCCCGCCGCCGCCGCCGCACCGGGGATGATCACAATTGGGTTATTAGATGTGTGCGCACTGGGGTTGTCTGGCATCAACGTTTGCAGCGTGTTCGCAGTGTGTGGTGACCGCTCGCATGCGAGGGATGATTAGGGAGACTCGCAAAATAAGGAGGGGGGGTGAACAACCAATCCGCCGTTGATTATAAACACTGGGCTGTTATGGAGCCTCACCATGTTTATTCCCTGGAGAATAAAGCTATTTCGTTCTGGGGTTGTTGTTTTTTTTAGTGGTTAGTGGTGGTCCGTTGGAGCGATCGGTTTAAAGAGTGCCGGATGTTCAAACTTGTATCTTGCGTTTTCACTTACACTCTCGACTAAGAAATGTATTTATTTGCGCTATTTGGGTACACAAACCAAAAAAAGGTACCGTGGGGTTAATGGCTCGTCCGCCTCCGGAGAGCTAAAGTAAAAGCTTTGGCATCGCACACAGGTGGGCCGATTCTAAGTGCACCTGAGTACCTGACTGAACCCAGGAAGTCCATCAAATGCAAAGCGCACTGAGCCCAACAAAACCGCACTGTGGGCGATGCCGCAGTGACTCAAGTGGGAAACGATTCGAGCGCTTGTGTGACACTGATTACCAGACGGCATCGTCCCACCTGATTGCCCCCCCCACCCCCCCTCAGTAATTACTTCCAGTGGATACTGTACGCCTTTCCCAGCGGCTTCACAAGTCAGAAGCTCCTCCGCGGTATCGATTCAACATTAAACGCCAGCTCAATCGAAACCCAGTTGGGTGTGCGCCTGGCCTCCGGGCAGTCATGCGGTGTTTGGAGGGAGACTGGGGGGTTGGGGGAGGAAGAGGGGGGATAATTAAGTTCAAGTGGCAAATTGGGACATGAGGTCTTGATGGAAAGTCAATGAGCGCTGCATTAAACAAGGAGGGTGTAGCTGCAGCGGTTGTCGCCATGGAGAGGATGTTGGTGTTCCCAGGGAGCTCGCGCTGCCCCCCTTCTTCATCATCTTCGTTAATGAACCATTCGAATCGATGTTTGTGCTCACACACTGGCGGCACACATCACTCCGCTCACGTAATTGTGCGGTATCGCATAAAAAGGGTATGGCCCGTAATTCAATAGGAGCGTGCCTGATTGGACCGAAGTATTCTTGATCTTCACTGTTCTCTACTCGCCACCGCACCCCCACCCGTACTGAGGCTGGTTCCTGCTCGGTCAGCCCCACTGATCTGCTGGATTCACAGACAAACACACAGGTCAGAGGTCACACAGCCCTTGAAGAGTTTTTTGGGGATCGCCAACGATGCTCTGCTGACAGTATTCATGCTGCCTGTTGTAGACTAAACTATTGTAAGATGTGCAGGTGGATCTACTTTGCACTTCATGTTCCTGCTGCAGGCAGTGGATGAACAAATTAAGATTATGAAGTCAGCCTATATACAGTATCTAGATGTGGGCAAGGGAAAAGAAGTAGTGACCTAAATACACACCACACACACACACACACCAGACTGTAAGTACAACTAGATAATACGAATTTAATATAATTTTACTGATGCTTCCTTTCTTGATTTACAATTTAAAAGCAACACATTTTGAACTCAAAGAGAACCGATTTAAAATGAAAGGAAAAATGTGAGGAAAGGACAGAAAACCGGCTCCGTTGCATGATCTCTACTCAGCTTTCATGTGTTAAAGTCACTATCCGTTCTCTTTGCAGCCATCCAGCTCTATTTAACAGATAAAATCATGATACTTATCTTTAAATCTTTTCATTATTTAGGTGTGATAATTCCAGTAGAATTATATATTATTTCATAGTAATCAAATGTCTCCATTGATGTATGCATCTCTAACAACATTTTCAGACGATAAAAACGGTCTCTGTCTTCCACGTAAAAGTGCCGGTTGATCCGAGGAATCAGTTTGTTGGTTTGGAAATGTGAAACAGAGCAGGAGGTGGATTACAAACTACGAGCCACGGTGTCTCCTCCCTGCAAACTAATGCAAGTGCACCCCCTGCTGACCCAGACGTTACAGCTCACAATGTGACCGTGACATCCGGAGTTACTCAGTGCGCTGGTTCTCCCGCCGGGTCGGATTGGTAGAGAAGATACTGCTTCACTTCTGTAGGAAGGGGAAGGTCTTGAATCCCTCCCAGTCTCTGCTTGCCCACAGTTCTCCTGATGTGCAGCCGACACAGCTGCATCAGAGGAGACGCTCCTGGGCGGGATTATGGATTCGGATTATTAGATGCTGTAAAAAAATATATAAATACATTTTTAAAAACCTCAAAGGCCCCAGTGAGGCTACTTGGTGGGTTTGGATTGAATACCTCCCGCTTGTCTCAGCAGCCTCTGTGCCCGGCTGTTGGGGGGTGCGAGGTCTGCCGGCTGTTTGCCCTCCGAGTTCCTGAGGCCGCGGTCGGCCCCGTGGTCGAGCAGGACCGACACCAGCTCGGGGTTGGACAGGCCGGCGGCGATGTGCAGCGGCGAGTCCCCGGACACGGCGCCGTTCACGCTGGCCCCTGAGGGAGGGCGGAGACAAGTGGCGCGTGATGTCATCATATTACATCACAGCAAGGGGGGAGGAAGTGTGACGGAGCACCGTTCATCAACATCAAAGATTCAGAGACCTTTCCTACTTGCACTTAATTAACGCTCTGCTTATGAGTATTCAAATCAATATACTTAAATAGATTTCCCAATATCAGGTTTTATTAAGTGATAAGCCCTACCTTTGCCAAAAAAGCTGTGAGGAACGACTCACAATGGAGAAATAACACAATAAGCATAGAAGACCAAATAAGTAAATATATCATGTTTTATATGTTATGCGGACTGTGCATGAAGAAATATCCATTTTGTCTGTTTGCCAAAAAGCCAAATGCTTCTCCAACGTAAAGGACTTCATCGGAGAGGTACAGAGTTCCACATCAAGGCCTTCTTACCGAGTTGAAGCAGTTTCCTCACAGCACTCAGATGCTCGTTGGAGCAGGCGACGCTGAGGGGGGAGCCGCATTGGGCGATGTGCTGATCTACGTCCGCGCCGTGCTCGACCAGAGGCTGGATGCACTCCGGGTGACCTACACGCAGTCATCATAGGGACTGGTGATGTACTTCAAAGGATCAGCGCTCAAACCTGCCGGCGCTTCCCAGAGTATGCAATCTTTTCACTTTGCAGCTCCGAACTGCAAAGACTGTTTTCACACCGTATACATTCCTGAGAGCGTTTCTGCTGTTTTGCCGCTGCGTGCATTTGGTGGTGACTGACAAAGCTGGTTCAGCAAAGATTAGCCGTGTATTTCCTCACGAATGTGACCTCTAACCTTTGGCTGCAGCCCTGTGGATTGGAGAGCTGGTTGGTGTGCTCCCCAGAGGAGTTGCCCCGTGATGAAGGAGCAGCGACACGCAGGTCACATGACCACGGGCACAAGCCTCCGACAGGGGGGTTTGTCCATCAACTGTTGAACCGTTGACCTGCCGTGGGTAAGTGTTACTTTTGAGACATTTCACCACAAATTCCCCACAGAAAAGATTAAAGGAGCAAGGAGAAGTCCTGAAATGTTATACATCTTTAATATAGCAAAGGGATTATGATTATGCTACTCGTGGTGGATCAAACGTCTACTGTGGGGGGGTTTCACCGTCAGACTTTGTATCTCTAGATGTGTGTCTTTATGTGTTATTGTGCGTGCTCTGTGCTCGTGGCCGCATGCTCTTTCGGTCGGTGTTGGGTTAATCTCTTACTGACATGCACCCAAACAGGTTAAACCCAGCAATAATTTATAGGATTTTCTCTCAATAACCCTTGAGCAGGACTTTCAAAGGAAGACGCAAAACACATTGTCTTCATTTGGGATGGTCTTGAGATAGTTACGTCTACATTGGCACAAAACACAGCCATGCAGAGATGCCTTACTGACATTTGCTGCATTTTCCATCAGCAGCGTGGCGCAGGCCACGTGGCCCTGTAAACATGCTCCGTGGAGGGGGGACACCTGGTCCAGGGTGTTCAGATTAACACACGTACCCTGGGAACAACACACACACACATGCACTTGAAGCTTCACAGCAAAATGTCTTAAGACGTCATGTAGTGAATGTGATCATTACGATGATTTTCAAGTAGAGAAACGTTTTCTAATTGTATGAATTGCTGGTTTGAATAATTTGTGCAGAATAACGTAACCAGCAAAGGCTCATTAAACTACCTGAGCAATGAGTCTCTGCAGAGTGAGGACTCGTCCGTTAAAGGCAGCTTCGTGGATTGGGGACCAGTCTGATTCAAGATCTAAGTTTAGACGCCACATAAAAATACATAAAAATGCAATAAAAGTGCAATAAAATGACGTGGTGAAACGTTGTGTTCAAAGCCGTAAATGCACTCCAGCTGTAGCTACTCACCGCTCATCAAAGGGTTTGAGAAAAAAACTGCAGCTCCACTTTGACAAGTTGTGTCTCGTGGAGCGTCTTTCTGTCCGTCCGACATACTTCACTGTGCCACCCGAAAGCTGAGCCACGGTCGGATGCTTTTGCCTCGTGGGTTGTTGCGTCACACGGTGAACTGTGTTCCGCCACCCGAAGTCAAGAGACATCTGAGAGACATTTTGTCCTCATCTGTTTTCCAGTGTTTTTGTTTTGTTTTGTTTTTTGTGGCTAGCCTTGGTGCTGTGATGTCATTTCCTCTTTGAAAAAGTATTTGCCTGCAGGAAACGTGCTGGTTGCACGAAGCGGTTTGGCTTCCACCAATGGAGGTGCAGAGGCAGTGGGGGGCCGTTGAGCAGGTCTTTTAATTTAAGGGTAATTTGACACTGCACAGTCCCACCCACCCTCTCAGCAGGAGACGGGCGGTGTACAGTTGGTTGAGGATGAATACAAGAGAAATGAACCCATCTGCGTGTGTAGAGTTCGGCTCCACAGTAAAAGTATTTATAAAGAATGTAATGAGTTGTGTTATCATATCCGCTTATATATTTCTTTGCATTGTGTTTGAACACAGCAGTACCTTTTTTTCCCTGATAAGTCTTTTTTTATAGGTGATTCCTCAATTTTATGCCCATGGCTAGATTTTCATAAACAAATTATTTTCTTTTTTCAATTAGTTTTCTATTTTAACACGGATGTGTTAACCAGGCAAAATGTGTTTTACTTGTTACTCGTCCACTTAGATGTTTGATCCTCACCGTGCACAATGTCTCTGCAGAGCTTGACACATTTCTACATCCATCTGCTGAAGGGAGGAGGTTTCACACTTCAAAATCAGACTTTAATTTGGATGATTTCATCACTAATTGTGTCAAATTGTTCAAACATTTTAAACACAAAATATTTATTACCATCAAATTGTTGTTTAAAGCTAAACTTCATCTGTATTAAAACATATTGGAGTGGATATTTAAATCCTCTTTGATATCGTTCTCATTTTATGGTGGTCATGTAGTTGTGCTTAAATAACAGTGAAATGAGAACAACAAATATCCCAAAAAGTTCTTTTTTCTTCCATGTGGTTGAAAGTGAACTAATTGAAGAGAATTTCATGGCTTACCTTTTAAAAAACAGGAAATCCACTTATTTTTCTAACTTGTTGTTGATGGGGGGGCGATAATCAGACAAAACATCCGTCACAGTCAAGACGAAGGGCTCAGCACCCACATCAACAGGACCGGCTCTGCTTCAGTGTCCTTGAGTACGACACAGGATCCCTGCAGCTCTGGTGATAAACTAATCTGACCTCCAACTTCCCTGACAGACTTCAATTAAGTTCCCACGCAACTTCTGAAAATAAAATAAATCCAATTGCAACAGCTGTGTTATGACTATGTGCTCTGCACCCCATGGGGTAATTGAGTCAGGCTGGAGGCAGCGCTCCATCTCCTATAAATACAGAGCAGCCCTGTGTGTTTGGTTGTAGTTAAATCTTTCCATATACACCAATTCCCAAACGTGCAGCCCAGGACACATCTGACGAGCTTCGGGAGCTCACGTTGCGTGCGGCCCAGCAGAGGGCGGCAACAGCGTGCAGACGTCGGTGGATGCTGACCGAGGTTCCTCTGGCGGTTGATGATCCCCGGCAGCAGGCTGCGCGCCGGCCGTACGATTGACTTTGTGCCTTTTGCAGAGAAGGTGCGTATAGATCAGCATGCCATTGTGTGAACTCTATGTATGCGCTCTCTGCGGAACCGAATAATCAAAAGCTGGAGATGCTTTGTTTCCCAAATAAATCTGCCCAGATGCCCTTCTGTTCTGTCAGATCTCCGTCCAAGCAAGCAGCTCCAGCAGCTGCTGTGACCTCTGCCCGGGCGTGCTGGATGTCCACTGCATGGGAACTTACATTAAGTAAAGTTTCTCTATGCTGGTGCAAGTCTCAGATAACCTGAGCAAGAAAAGCACCAAATGGAATCCTTTTTTATCATGAATCTGAGGATGGGACTCATTTCTGCTTTGTCTTTGTTGTTCAGATCGATTATTTTGTGATGCCCAGTGAGAGGAAACAGGACATTATTTATGCTTTCATCATCAATTTTTTTTTTTTTTTATACATTTGCAAATCAGTTTACTTTGTGCTCTCTTTGGTCTGACTATAATTTGAAGTGATTTTCACATCTGCTCGTGCACATTTGTTAATGCATAACACTATATATTGTGTGCTAACTATACGGAAGTCTGTGTCTCATCACACAAACATAACACACTAAAGAAAGAAGGCTTATGTTCCTTCAGATTACAACCACGTGATGCTAACAGGATGGATGGGTGGCCTTAGCCTTATATAGGCTACTCATGCAGAATCTGAAAGAGAAAACATTCTATGATTTGTTTTGATAAATGGATTTATTCTTTGAGTGTTTAACAAGTTGTATCTTCATTTTGTATTTGTGGTGTTTCTATTCAGGGGCTTCCTGTTTCTAACTGATGATTCTGTTTGCAGCAGAATTATCATATACCCTTTTGCAACAAATGAAGTGGGCGGTTTATAGTTTAATGGAGTGTTATAACAAAAAATAGTATCCAGTCTTCATTTAATGAATGTCATGACTAAATATCCACGTTTTTCTTTTGATCCCCGGTGTTCAGCAGCACTTGGAGTAGAACAAAGTGTATCAAATAAGTGTAATCTTCACCAGAGACGCAGAACAGGTCAAGTGCAGGAAAATAATTGAAATGGATCAACTACTAACAACTAGGACCTGAGACCCAAACCACACAACAGCCCGCCGTCGGGTGTCCCGCTTTGCGCGCACAGTTACACTACAGCTGCGGGGATTAAATGGAACCACATGATGACTCCAACCCGTGATCTCCCAGCCGGGCTCGTGCACACACTCAACCATTTCCTCTCCCTTTCTTCCTTCCTTTCCTCCCGACAACCGTCCTCTCAGCCCACTTCCCTTCTCCCCCCCGGTGTCCCGGCATGGCGTCCCCCCGGCTGGAGACCTTCTGCTGCCCGAACAGAGACGCGGCCACCGAGTTCGTGGTCTCCTTCCAGCCGGTGCTGTTCGGGGCTTTGGGTTTGGGGAGCGCGAGTCTCAGCCTCGTCTTCGCCGTTTTACAAATTCTGCCCAAACGCAAAGGATACAGGAGACTGGGGCAGTACCCGCTGCCGAGGCCCGCGTCCTCCTCGCGGATATTGTTCATCATCAGCATGTGTGACATCCTGGGATGCGCAGGTAAAGAGAAACTGCTTCCTGGCCCGCTTTTCTTTGTCGCAGCTGAGAGAGACGGAAGTTTCGCAACGTGGAGAGGCTTTGCTGGCTGTAATTACGCACGAGAATGTGTTGTTTTTAACCCCTCTTGGTGCACTGCGCTCGCTATGCTGAAGGAAAAAAGCACGTTTTTTAAAAGAAAGGTGATTTTGGTACATGTGTTTTTGCAACATGGTGCGGCAATTGTTCTTTAAAAACTGTAAAAAACGGTAAAATAGCAACAACAAAAAAAATTAAAAAACGGACTTGAAACAAATCAGTGCAGAAACATAACTTTAATGTTTAGTTGTGAAGCTGCTTTTTTTCCCCAAAGAGAAAGAATGCATCATGAGTCTCTCATGTGAGTCATGGATGACTGCAAAGCCCCCCCCCCAGTTGATCTGAACGCACCATTGTTCTTAAAGCGAGCCTCGGTCACACATTCAAATCGAATGATTCGATGACACATGAAGGGCTGTAGATTATGTACACATAGCCGAAGCAACGTGACACTGGAGCGGCTCATTCATCCTCTGGTTCGGGTGCGAGGGGAGGCCGATGAGGTCATGCCTGTGTGTGCAGTCAGTGCCATGCACTGCAAACCAACAGCTGAAAGCACAGCGCTGACACAAATGTAAAAAAGCAAATACAAACACACAGCAGCGTGTTGGTCTGCATCGCATTAAGTTTCTGGGAGACCTCCCGTTTTTTTTTTCCCACCCCACAGTGAAGAGTATCACGAAGGAAATGGAAACACCCTTATAAAACCCACCTGGAGGTAGTTCATATTTCCATGACATACATCTGCTATTAAAAGGTCTCCCATGACTGAACCTAATTAATGAACACACTTAATAATACGCGACGAAATGATTCTTAAATGTTAATGAAAACCAGACTGTATTTTCTTTGCCCTCTCTTGATATTTTTGTTCTCGTCCCGTGGTGAGGGAGGGTTCGTCGTATGTGTTGCAGTTAACGGTGACACACCGCGTGTCGGGTTTCCTCCTCCAGGTATCATCACCCGGTCCTCGGTCTGGTTGGGCCTCCCGAACTTTATCTCCGGCATCTCCGTGGCCAACGGGACGGACGCCTGGCCTGAGGTCTTCTGCGTTGGCAGTGCAGTAAGTAATGACGCTCTTTGACAAAGCTTTACAGTTCGGTTAAATGCAGTTAATAATAACCATGTATGATTAATACAGATAATCATACACGATCCTCAGGAGGCGTGGGCAGAGCCGACTGGCGTCTTTTCAAACTCAAAGCGCAGCAAGGCCTGCGTACTCATTCTTATTAGAACATGACCATTGTGTCTCTTTTGTCTGTTTACAGATGTGGATCCAGTTGTTTTTCAGTGCTTCTTTTTGGTGGACCTTTTGTTACGCTGTCGACGTCTTCCTGGTTGTGAAAACATCTGCAGGAATCAGGTGATCCGACACCTTCCACGTCCAATTCATTATCACCTCAACATCTCCTCCTATAGAGCAGAAGCTATAAGCCGATCTGTTTCAGAACGTGTAAAACATTTTCCTCTCACTTATCTATATCCAGCAATAGATGTAACGCTTCTTCCACATTTGAAAACTCCCTGAAATTGGTTTCTTTCGTGCCGTAGAGAAAGCATCTAGTGAAGTAGCACTAAGTGGTCCCAAGACATAAAGCTGCAGCATGTGTTGTGATCTCCGTCTCATGACCCGTGTCCTTTCCCCATCAGCACCATTATCCTCTACCACATGATCACATGGGGTCTGGCCGTGCTGCTGTGTGTGGAAGGAGTGGCCATGCTCTACTACCCGTCCATCTCCGAGTGAGACGCTTTTTGTTTGTCCATTTAAGTCGAGCACCTTTCTGCAGTCAAGACGACAGCGTCTCCGCGATGCTCGGTGCTAATTTCGTTATTTTGTTGTATTTTCGTGCAGCTGTGAGCAAGGTCTGCAGCACGCTATCCCGCACTACGTCACCACGTACGCGCCGATGCTGCTCGTCCTGGTGGCCAACCCGGTCTTCTTCAATCGGACCGTGTGTGCAGGTCAGCCCCTCGCCCTTGGCTCTGTCCGTCCGTGTCGGATGCTTTCGTACACCGGCTCACGTGTCCACCTCTCTCGTCCTCCAATACAGTGACATCTTTGCTAAAAGGACGACAGGGAATCTACACGGAAAATGAGAGACGGCTGGCAAACGAGATAAAGATCCGCTTCTTTAAGATAATGCTGGTCTTCTGTATTTGGTATGTTACCGGGTTTTTTTTAAAGGGTTGAGCATAAAGGAAGGGTATATTTTGGGGGTTATTTGTCCGTGCTTGCTGAGGATTGGTGGTGTCAGTTAGCAGCCGTAGCAAGGTAGCAATGGTCAGCAAATAGACTGGAAACAGGGTGACGGCACACCTGGCTGTGTTCAAAGGTATGAAATCTGTCACCAGCTACCTATCAAAGCGCAATAAACATGTCAGGTCTGGTTTTGAAAAACGTTAGAGTGAAAAAAAAAAAAATGGAATTGCTGTTTTTTCACGGTGGTTCTGAGCCGGACTCGCTCCACTCACGATAAATTCCTTGAGTATTAGTTGGCTGGTTGCTTGGCAACCTCACAATGACAGAAAAAGTCCACAGGAAGTTACTGCGCCTCGCAAGAAATATTGTGCGATACATAACTGCCTGCAAAACATGTTGCTCTTGTTAATAAGTTCCCAAAACGTTGCACTATTGGAACGTTATCAGTTGTATATTCTTGTAAATACAAATCACGTCTCCTTTTTGTGTTTGAAGTTAACATTCCTTAATAGATATTAATTTGAGAATGTTATTATCTAAAAAAGTAGTATTCAGAGACTCAAAGCTAATGAGGCATGTGGATGTTTTAGCTGGGTTCCCAACATCATCAACGAGAGCCTCCTCTTCTACCTGGAGATGCAGACGGACATCGCTGCCAACGGTTTCAGGAATATCAGGAACGCAGCACTCATCACCTGGTTTATCATGGTGGGTAAAAAAAAAAAAAAAACATTTGCACAAAGCATGGAAACCACTAAGTCTGACACTTTAAATGATCCTTGCGTTTGGCCTCCTTCAGGGCATCCTGAACCCCATGCAGGCTTTCCTCAACACTTTGGCCTTTCACGGCTGGACGGGCTTGGACGTCGACTTCCGGCCGCGGCAGAGGAGGGAGCCGGCCTGGGACTCGGTTTCCACCTCGGCGCCTAACGCGGCGGGCAACAACCCCCTGGTGGGAACGACTCTGCTCTACCAGAGTCACGTCCAGGAGGCCAAGAAGAACGCGAGCAACGGACACCAGCACTCCGACGCCATCAGCGTCCTCTCAGAAGGTAATTGGGATTTCAGTGGCAGTAACAACTCGCCTGTTTATCAGGGATGGTGAAGCTGCAGTGCGTCACCTGACGTCTGGACCGCCTCCCCTTTAAATGTGCTGTAGTGCGTTTTTTCTTTCTTTTTTTTCTAGTGGAGGTGGTTTATTTTTCAACATGGTGGTTGAGAAAGTTAATCAGGGGCAAATCTGTGACGATTTTTTAAACTCGTACTGTAGCCGTTTTTGAAAAAGAAAAACGGCGTTGATACCAGGTCATATTTGATTGTTGAGGCAAGGCATGTTTTTTTTTTTTTACAGTGAAACTCCACAACGGTAGCAAATTCTGACATTCTGTTAAAGGTGCAGCAAGCGTGCAAAGTTATATGATAAGAATAACTTGCAGAGAGCAAGTGGCAAAGCAGTTGCACATTTAAATAGAGCAAATTAAATGCAAATGAGATGCTGGAGAGGCATTTAGCTAAAACGAATGCAGCCTCGTGAAGGTTGAACATTAGTCATTTTGGAAGCCGGAGGTAACAGCAGAACCCTTCGGGTAGCATTTATTGCAGGACCACATTGGGTTGAGCTGTGCATCTAATGAACTGGCAACGGAGTCAAGATGTTTGCCTTTCCTGGATAAAACGATCGATATTCACCAACGCATTCTAGTAACACTGAGTGATCATCGGCCACGTGGACGTGCCCCAGCAGGAGAAGCACAGGTGCAAATAGATCAACCGATGACGGCTGGGGTCCACAAAGCGGCTTTAAATCACCAGGCACCGCCCAGACATTGGTAACAAAATGAGTTAGACCTGCACTTTCCCTACTGGGACATGTCAATATGTCCGCTGTGATATTAAGATAATATTACATGTATTTTGGGATGATTTTGTAAACCATTTGATAAGATTGTTCTTTGTGCACGAAGGCTATTCAGTGTTTTGAGCAATAAAGTGGATTTTTTTTAAAGGATTTATTTGGTTTTCCATTCATTTGTATGACGTTCAAATTGTAATATACACTCTTAACAAAAGAAATTCAAAATTAAAGACCGTATTTGCAAATAATTCCCAAAATACATTTGTGAATACACATCTGCCGGGGGGGGGGGTGTGTATAAATGAGAGATCAATATCTCGATAGGTTTACTCTGACACCCAGTAATCTACCCCTATTTTGTCTTGCTAGGTTCAGAGTCTAGTACAGTTGAAATCCACATTTCCAGCGATCTGCGAGACTATGAGGATGTAGACGCTGATGGAGAATCCATGGAGAACTCTGTGAGACACTAGCCTGGAGGAGGAGGGGTCGACCCGTCCCCCTCTGCTTTCCTCATCTACTTTTAGATGGTGTCCTCTTAGCCGCTAATATCGGAGTTTTTCCACCGGTCATGAGATTTCACTCGCTGGTACAAACAAGTGAAGTCGAATTCTTTATTCTAAGCCCTTTATTCCTTCCAGAACTTTGTTAATCTGTCTGCAGTAGTTTAGTGCAACATTGTGGACCCATTAACTGTACAACAAGTGAACAATCCCAAAACTACTTCACCGTTTCTTGGCGTCAACAGAAGAAACGTCACATTTCTGAATTATTACCCGCCGGCTGGTTTTGTGATGCGCTTTAGTCGTGCAGCTATCATTGCACAACAGAATGTAATAAGCTAATTAGACTTGTTTTAAACAAAGTTGCTGTATTCCCAGTTGCACACCATGTATTTTTGTACACATCCATTTTATACTGTGTTTTGTTGGTGACTTTTTAAACTATTGAAAATAAATGAATGCAATGAACAACACAGAAGTCAAGACACCGGCTCCATGGTTTCTGATATCAAAATAGAGTGATTTATTTGAGACACTGAATGACTTCATCGCTTTGTCATGGAAACGGGCGACTGCCCCCTGGACCAGGTGCAAGAGAGATGGTAGCCGTCGCTTTGCTCATTCCATGCCGGGCTCCTCAGAATGCCAAGAATGGCCACCAACCCACAGCCCAATTCTCAGTCTGACACAGACAATAATGGCTCTCAGCAAACTAAAAAGTCAGAAAACAATCAACCACCCAACAACATCCAACTGTGACATAAAATGAAACATTGTCCCTTCAACTTTTAGCAAGATTTGAACATTTGCTGTTCCCCTCGTTATAAAAAAAATGCACTTTACATTGCTGTAGCAGACAGCGAATGAAAGGGAACCAGAAGAAAAAAGGCAAATCAAAGGGTGGCGATTTAGATATTGAAAAGAAAGAATCTATGAGTTCCACCAAGCAGATTGAGGCACACTTAATGCACATCTATGACGCTCAACTCACCACCCATGCATTTTAAAAGCGCTTTAACAAGACCAAATCGGATATTGCTAGGATCCTATTTTCTTTTTTTGCTTGCCCTCCACCCGCCCGGAGCAGTAGATGGTTGTTGGGGGAGCGCCCTGCTATTTGATGCTGTAGTTTCCTGCTCGGTGCATTGATGCCGTGACGTCCTGTTCCACAGATAAGGCAGAAACCAAGCGGGAGACCGGGATGGACGTTATCTCCCATACTGTCCATCAGATAATTCAGCGAGCCACGCGTCAGGGACCAATAGTGGAAAGCAAAGCTGCTTAAGAAGAAGCAATCTGGGAGTTCAGTGTAAAAGGAAACGGCCCGATGCATCGGCTACGATCGGCCCGGTTGAAAAAGACTTAAAAGAAGCTGATGACGCATGCACTTAAAAAGAGGTCTTGCCAGGCAGTATCAGCCAAGATGTGACAGCTCTAGCCCATAATGAGCCCCTACAGGATGGCAATAAAGTGTACTGTATATAAACATATATACACAGTATATAAGTGTGTATTAATCTAATTTACATATCTTTACATTCTGAAATTTACATCCAAAAAAACGGGAGAAAATTCTCTTTGTAAACCACGCTTTTCACATCTTGTCCACAAAATTACATTTTCTAATCGCGAGTGAATTGAGCAGGTCTTTTAAAAGCTTAGGACTGTTTCTTGGCAGGATTTGTTCCGTTTTGTAGACCTGATGTTAGACGTGAGCTAAGAACTACCTTGTGGCGACACATTCGATTTGGATTTTCAAGAAGTCCATCTGTGGATTAAAAAAAAACCCAGAGCAAGAAGTACTCTAAACAATCCAGTCTCCACTGGGGAGAAGCTAAGCACCCTCTCACCGTACCATGCCAGGGCTTCAGTATTCATGCTACTTTCACCACGTTAGTTCATTTGGACACGAGGTAACATTTTTTTGCTCAGAGGAATCCTAAAACCGCAACCTTTTCTTTCATAATTTGTTCCCTCTTACAGCCGAACACGTGTCTCGTTAACACTTTTCTCTTTATATAAAACTCATCTTTGTGTTTCCACCCTTACAACCCGATAACAGCTGGACCAGTGGCCCGGAGGGGCTGCAGCACTTTCTCATTAGAAACCTGTAAAACGCGGCTGCACCCGGGGAGTTGGATTCAGTCCAGTCCTGGGGATCTCTTTACCGGCTTCCGTCACGTTTCCAACAGGCGTTTCCTAAAACACTCATCAACAAACTGTAAGGTGCGCGGACGGACGTCCTCGGAGGCTGCTGCACACATCTGGTTGTGCTCCTGTGTGGGGGGGGTTTCCGCTCCACCTTACGGCTCTTCTTGAGCAATCAGAGTGTGTTTTCTGATGTCAGAAAAAAAAGGCAATTCGATGCACATTCCAGGACTCATCATCAAAGTCTCAAGTCGGCTATTTTCGGAGATCAAGAACACACACCTAAAAAAGGGAAAGAATGAAAGAAGCTTTACAAATACGCTGCAAACCGCCTCGCACACGATTTCCGTGAACCAAGCGGAATAGAAAAGACGGGAAAGGAGCGACAAACTGGGGTAAATAAATCAAGCGTCAAAATAGCCGTTGCTTACCGAGCCTTCTGACGCGCTGGCCCCAACTTTGTCCCCGGGGCTGTTCCAGCACACCTCGAAAATCCCACCGGTGCCCCGGTAGCTGTGCACCAGGGCTCCATTTTGACACGGGGGGGGGGGCAGAGGGACGAATGAATGAACAACTCTGACGGCAATCGCCACAAATCGCTCCCGCCGCGCGGAGCAGCGTGAATTGAGAGGCTTACCGTGGTGTTCCAAATGTGGACACACTTATCAAAGGAGCCGCTGGCCAGGTGCTTGCCGTCGGGGCTGAAGGCCACGCTGTATACGGGTTCCTGGTGCTTGGTCAGCGTGTGGATGCAAATCCCTCGCTCGACGTCCCACAGTCGAACCGTCGAGTCGAAAGAGGCGCTGTGGGTGTGGAGGAGGCAGAATATGAGAGCAGCACCAATGACCCCTAAAAGTGATCCCTTCTGACAAACATGTGCTGGTCATAAAAAAGTCGATGCCTTTAAATGTTGTTCATTATCTGCAGATTTATTATGCAGTGAATGAAGACCAAACGCTCGTATATAGAAACAAATGGGGCCGGTAATACATCTTTAAAAGCTAGATTGTCATCCTTTGTTTCACAATACCAATTGCCCAACTTGTGAACACAGTCACTGCTCTTTTAGAGTGAAAAACTACACCAAAATGTCAACTGAAATGAGTGAAATGAAAAAAGTGACTAAGGATCTGTGAAATAAATACTGAGAAACTGATGAGGCTGTTTTCAATTAACACATCTTCTTCACCGGGTATAAAAAGGCACAATTCATCTCCTGTGGGTGCCTATGGCAACAAACGAGAGTGAAATTGGAAAGGTATTATGAAGGCAGCTAAATTTAAATCAATTAAAAATGAATTGCATACCTACTGTTAAACGGTGGATTTTCTAAGACTATAAACATCTTTCCAAACAGCAGCACTTTCATTTGTAATTTGAATCACAGGCCGGTATACTGGATTGTCAGACAGAAGCGTGCATTCCCGTGCTATCTGATCTAGAACATTTCCACGTGCATGCACATCTGGGTCAGGGTGGAGGCCTTCGGGCCACTGGCAATAACTAGCACGAGGATTTCGCCTTTAACTCCATTTCCTTCTGAATGCCAGGCTATGACAAGAGTTCCCACAGATTTTAGAAATGTATACATTTATATTATACACACACATATATATATATATATATATATAATGTATATGTATACATTTATATTATACACTTCCTTTGACTTTGCTTTCAAACTGAACAACGTGGGTGGCTGCCCTGTACAGTTCTCCCACCTGGCGAGCATGATGTTGGAGTTGGGGTTGCTCGTGCCGGGGCCTGTGGGGCTCCACTTGATCGTGTAGATCTCTTTACTATGAGCCTGGAGGTCGTGGACACACGACTCCTGCTTCATACTCCAGATCTGCGTTCAAAGGGGGGGAAGAGCAGCAGCAGAGTTTAACTGAATACAAATGAGTGCTTCGGCTTTGTTGTCTTTGAGCCGTACAGGCTGAGGAGGGGCTGCTCTCACCTTTAAGGTCATGTCATCCGAGCAGGAGGCAAGCAGCATACCTGATGGATCCCACTTAATGGCGTTAACTTCATTCTGCAAAACACAAAACTCGTTCAGCGGGAGCGCAGAGGGCGGGAGCGCGGTGTCAGGTCAGGAGAGCAACATGGAAAGAAAAAAGAAAAGAAAGGAAAGCTGCTCACCGTGTGGCCCTGGAAGGTCTTGAGGGGCCGGTCGCTGCCAAGGCGACAGACGTGGATGCACATGTCTGTGCTGCAGGAGGCAAAGGTGGTGTTGTTCTGCCAGTCGACATCCAGCGCTGGGGCTGTGGGGTATTTGAATGCACACGGCTGATCTCATTAGGGGTTTATGAGCCAATAAATTAGGAGCACAACTGAGGAGGAAACGTTTGACGTCCTTTTTATTAACAGCGATGATATGCTTTTATTGCAGTGGTGGAAATAGTGAGCCGGCTTTACCCGAGTGAAAGGGGAACTGCTGCTTGGCTTCTCCCGTGTGCGCGTCCCAAATGATTGTCGTCTAGAACGCAGAATGAAAAGACTATTTGAAGTTACGAATGCAACGTTTGTGAATGCATCATTATGAACAATAAAAGGTTTCTTTAAAAATGTACACTTAAGGAATACCAGGGCTTGTATCTACAGTTCATGTCAGTGTAGCACGGAAAAGTTCACATGCTCCAATGAGGCTTGAAATATGTATTATGGGTAGCATGTTTTTTTTAAAAAGAGACAAATGCTTGAGGGCAGTTATGAAATACCTTATCTACACCGGCACTGAGAATGGAGTTCCCCTTCTTGTTCCACTTGAGTGCAAATATGGGCCCTTTGTGCTGTCCCAAGGTGCTTGCCAGATTCCCTAATGGATTAGAGCCATATCCATTTCTTTTAGAAATGATCCTTCAAAAAATTGTCACAGAGGTTGCATTATTCACAATAACAATGTCATAAACCCAGTGGCCGAGGGAACGGCGCCGCGCTGCAACGACTACGTACCATCCTTTGTCCAGATCCTGGCGAACCCGTCGTACGAGCCCGTCGCCAGCAGAGTCCCGTCGCTCTGTCGGATAAAAAGATACCGCAAATTCAGCTACAGTGGCCCGTTTACAACCTGGTCAAAAGTGGAAGAGAGGGGGATGTGGACGGATGATCGGGGGCCTACATTCCAGTCTAGAGACGTGACGTCTTTGTTACTAGGGACGTCCTGGCCACCTTCTCGGATACAGTGGCGCAGCACCAGCTGGGTGGAGTTGGAGTTGTTATTCTCGTTGAGGTTCCATATCCTGGCGGTGGAGTCTCCCGAGCTGAAGAGAACACCAACGCAGCAGGTGGGCGGGAGTTAAAAGAATGTTGGAAGAGAAGCTGTCAGCAATGAATCCTGTGAGCCCATATTGTCTTACAGAAATAAAAAGGGGGCCAACACGTGCACACAATGTATGTATGACTCATCCGGCCTGCATTAAGATCCGTTTGTGCACAGACAGTCACTCACCCGGAGGCCAGCAGATCGCTGACGGGGTTCCAGGCGCAGATGAACACTTCGGACTCGTGGCCTCGGAGCACCGTGGCTTTACTGGCTGGTATCTCCACATCGACGTCCATCTCCATGGGCTCACTGTGGTTATCTGAGAAGAGAAGGCAGATGGTCAGATTAGCAAGCACACACACACACATTAGTGTATCCATCAACACATGGCTGCACACACTAGTGAGCGTGTCGCCAGTTCTACACATGATGATGCATGCATGCTGATGAATGTCCGTTTAAATAACATAGGGAATATATTAAAGATAACCTGTCTCTCTACCAGTGCAGGCGCGGTTTCATTATGCATCCCTGACCCACTTGGAGTGCACACCATTATTACGGTATAATGAGAACCAAGTCACAGCAGATGATCAGGCCTTAAGAATACGCTTTCAGACAGTTTCCCCCATTTGAAAGCCAGAAAGGCAGTGAGACACAACTGTGAACATAACTACATATCTAAATTAAAATTCATAGCCATGATTATTTGGGTAAAAAAAAAAAAAGTAAAAACTGAATTGTTGAGTAGTAAAAAGAAAGCTGATCAGAAAGATCAGACCTTTCATTTGAAAGTAGAAGGTTCATTCTACAAGAAGCTTTATTACAGTATTTTAGATCCATTAGAAATGACACTACATTCTTTGTGAGATCATTGGTCTACTAGAGGAGTCTTCATACTCATGCTGTGGGTGCCGTTCTCCTCCCCGTTGACCGGAGCTTCGCCGTTCTTCGATGCGCTCGGCTGGTTTCCGGAGGTAGAAGCTGCCGTGGCACAGGACGCTTGCTGCTGGGCTAACTTGTCGCGGAAGGCCTGCTGCCGCGTCTGCACCACATCTGGCATCACCGCGTCGATGAGCGACAGCGACTCAATCGGCCGCCCGTCGAATACCGTGCCGTCCTGTTGGGACGACAGCAGGAGACAAGGCGGCGTGAGGCGGCGTGTCGCCATAGAGACCGTTAATAGAAAACATCTGCGTGAAACGTTCCACGCGCTCACCTCATTGATGCTGATTTCTGCCTCAACGTACTGGAGCCCTTTCTGCAGGATGGAGATGAGGGCTGCAGGGGGCACTAGTGTTCCGTTTATGTTGGACTGGCTGATGTGGCTCTCAATGCCAAAGGTGAATGCTGAGTGGGAGAAACCTGAAAGAAAAAACACCATTTGCATTCGTGAACGGGAGAGAGAGCCAAGCACACAATGTTCAAACAAAAAACACAAATACCTGGTCTGGTTCGATACAAATAAAGTGAATGAATAGAAATAACGAATGACATAACGAGTATGAAATTTGAGAGTAGAATAAGGCCTTCCAATGGCTGACCTCTCCAGCCCCGCTTGCATTATGCCAGTAATAAAATACAGCAGCTAGGATTTCAATCATTTATCCAAAGTCTATGGAACTACTTTACTTCTATGGAGTGAAGCAATAATCTGTGCATGATGTACAGTTAACAAGACCCTGCAATACTGAAAAACACCACCAGAAATACAAGTATTAAGCGCAGTAAGTATTGTGTGTGTTCAGAAGAAATTACTGAGACAAACCTGATTCCTGGAGGTATCTGTAGACCAAGAAGTTCACTTCGTCACTGGTAATACTCATCTTAGCCCAATGAAAGGGAGGAGGGATGTCGCAAGTTTGGCCTCACTCCTGAAAAAATAATCACAAATTTGAGACTCGCACATTACATATTCTTAAGCAATTCTAAAGAAACATTAAAAAAATAAAGCAAGATATTACAGTCCAATAAAAATGGATAACAATTGTGCACATTGCACAGACGTGTCCTGTCAATTTAAACACAGGCAGATACACACAAGAAAGGCCTGGTGTCCAGTCTCAGTTGGTCTTGTCTATTGTACGATCCATCCTTTAGTCCCTTTAACTGTAAATCCATATCTGGTACTAAATACAACCTCTCTCCTCTGGCCTTCTGGCAGTGTGTATCCATTTGGCTTTCATTGAGAACTGACCCTACATACTATCTAGATAGAAAGTGTGCTGATAAAGAAGCAAAGATATTAATCAAGTGCCTGCCTACATTACAGAGGGCCAGGCACAATATATCCATGGAGGCCAGCATGAGTTATTTTCAACAAATAGCACAAATAGCACCTGTGTTAACACTTCAATAGAGTAAGTGTCAACACTGAAGGCAGCCGAAGGAAAGGCAATTACGTTTTAATTCCATCTGCTGGGGTTCCTCAGGCTAATGGCAAAAATACTGTAGTTATAATTTCCTAATGGCTGGAACATCATTGTTTAGCCAACACACACAAAAACACACTGCACAGTATTGAGGTTATGGTTGAAATGCAAAACCAAAGAAACCAACAGCAAGTTAGGAATGAGTCAGAACAAATGATATAATGATCCTGTGTAACTTGCTGCTTCCTGCTCGCCCAGTGGGAAGCTGCGGGACAGATATTTAGCAGAGAACACAAAGACAAATGAAGAGGCCAGGGCAACGGTGTCAGCTATGAAGACCGCGTGGCTGTCCGACCTCTACTCCGAACGCTGTCCCGGCCCACTCAGCTTCCACTTTGGTAGCATAGCAACGGTAGATGGAGCAAAATAGAGAGTGAATGGTGCTGTCCCAATTACCAGTGGGCACACAGCCAGAGGGCGCGAACATGTTACTCAACATGAATTATTCACTTTCACCGTGGTGTATTCTTTCATAGGGAGCGTGCCGTTACTGCAGCACAGGAGACGTGCTTAGGACTGGAACAACATTTGAGTTTAGAACAAAAAGAAGTGCTTATTTAAAGTTTTAAAGTGTCCTGCAGGGTTTTCTTGTGAACAAACAAATGTTCCATTCAGATATTTACCAAAAAATTCATTGTGCGTATTCATGAAATCCAGCTGAGGGTCATTTTCTTCAATATTTGTGTTTTAAGTCATTGAATTAGTGTTAAAACCTTGTTAGGGCTGTGAAGACCAACCAAATAGGCTCATAAACAAACCACTCCACAGCGCTACTAGAGGTCAACCACTCCACAGGCAACCTTTTATAAATCCTGCAACAGTTATATATATTTTTTTGAAAGTAAAGACAAGCAGGACGTGCTCCTGCTTTCACCTCCACGGTTCGTTCTCAGGCTAACGAGGCAAAACAGCCAAACTCACAACCCTACATCAGTCACCAGGCCCGGTTTGACCGCCGCCTCTGTGCTCCATCTCAGGACGAGGGCGAGCCACATCAAAGGCACCGAACAATTGGAAACGTAATCAACAGGCCGTCTGGAGGGGCTCAGGTCCCGTCGGTGCAGGGCGGCAGCAGTAATCCCCCTATCAGATGGGCCCACAATGCCGCCGTCCATTAAACAACTCCCCGGGCCGCCAGGCCTCCTTTCCCAAACAATGCGCCCTCTGGGAGAGCACACAGAATGCGAACTTCGGCAACAGCTCAGAGGGTTATAAACCAAATGAATAAGTAGAGCCAAAGCCTGAAGAAACTATGCCTCTTGGAAAAAATACAAGGACAGAAAAAAAAAACCACGCACGCAAGGCAGCAAAGATGCTCTTTACCGCAGCAGATATCCACCACATGGAAGAGCGCGATATACAAAGAAGACACAATATTGACACTCAAACCTCACATCCTCGATTATGGTTACAGTAAGAATGTGACATCGCATCTTGAAAAGAAAAAAAGAAATTTGGAATCCCGTTTCTCACAGGAGGTCCAGATGGCAGCGCAATGAGATGCAAATTAAATCTAGGAGACCCTGCAAAACCTGTAGGTAACCTCCAAGCGCCACACAACAGCCATTCCACTAAGCCATCGCTATAGCGACATGAACCATGCCTCACAGCGTGACGCTAACAGAGAAACAACAGTTAAAAGTGTCCGTGCTGAATGTTGAGGGGTTATCGACGGATAATCCCGACCGGATTGTGTGCAACATGCACCAAATCAATTCAATCGCTCTGCCACAACAACGCGCGGTTCTCGCTCACTATGTGCATCCGAGGCAATCTTTAATTCAAACCAGCAAATTCCAGCCGCCAATCCTTTTCTTTGCACAGCATCTTGTTTACCAGCACAGTTTGTTTTCTACAGGCTGAAATTGGCATTTCAACATCAATTTCATTCTTCGTTATTTCCCTTGTTCCCCTCTGAAGCTTCATGTTGATGCACGATATAAATTGCCGTCACCTCACCGAGTGGATTACAGCACTGCTTCACAAATGAGCATTTGTTCTTAAATGTCCTGTAGCTTTACATTAGAATATTACAGCACACCAGATGGACGTATGGATAATGAGAACCCTGTTGCTGTGGTCCTCTGGCTCATTAGCGTTAACTTTAGGATGTTTACCACAATTACTCCAACAATGTGGAGAACCTGTCTGTCCTTGGTCCTTAACTGCATTGTGTTGCTGCGGAATAAAAAAAGGCCTTCACACTTCTCGGCCTACACGGGGAAACACTTGGCCAACAGATTAAAAAACTCAAGTGTAACAATTTACACAAAAAAAAGAGAAGTGTATTTCTGGAATCAAATCCCATTTCCTACGAGCTCACTGGTGTGACTGCACGGATTACGTACTGGGCAGCGCAGCGTGTCTCTTGTGAGGGCTCAGCACGTACGTAGTAACAGAGCAGTAAGTGACAGGACCACAGACATGCCTTCACTACATGGCTGATGTTCCCATCCTGATGATGTGGAGCTTCATCAAAAAAAACATCCCGCTATCAAAGCGGGTTTCATCAATCTATGAAGCTGCAGATGTTTAAAAAAAAAAAAAGAATGCAATGGAATGAATCCTGAACCGTCATCAGTGGTTCACCATCTGCAGGAGGAACGGTGTGTAAAAAAAAGGTTTCAACGTTTTATGTTAACTTCTGAAAAGGTTGGTTTGACAGCAGTTGAACCACAGGAAGTGGTGTCTGGGCCGTGGAAGCCAGACGTGTGAATGAAGAGGGGCAACGCTGAGGAGAACAGCGCTCACAGTGAACGAGGCTCGTTCATCAATAAAACAGGTTCGAACCCTGTCCCATGTCGTAGTGTCTCCGAGCAAGACACCAAACCTCTAACTGCTCCCCAGGCAAAATGTCAAACCATGGGTTAAAAATGCAATGGTAGTTGCCCTGAATAAAAGAGTCAGCTAAACGACATGTAATGTAAAAATAGAACTCAAAGACATCATACTGTTGATCGATCTGTAAAAAAAGCTGAAAATGTTTTGTTATATTCTGAAAGTTAACATGCCAAAGCGCGTACTTTCTTAACGATACAGAAAGGGATCATCGTATAAAATCATTCACCCACCGCCGAAACCAAATAAAAACGCAAATCGACATACAAACCTTTGAATGTGAAAATGATGCAATGAGAGCTACACAACCAGACACACACAACCCCCTACACAAGCAGGCTCTTTGAAAAGAATCACGTTGAGAAGCAGCATACCAGGGACCCCATTTTCTCCTGAACAGTCACCTCCTGACAGATGTGCAAACAAGACCTGGAACAGCAGCCATTTTCTCCTGAACTGCTCTGCTGAGTAAAACCCGCCTTTGAAGCTTCTGGTCGGGCTGCAGTCTTTGGAGGGGGGGGGGGGGGGGGGAGCATGGTGATAAATAAGGATCTCCACACAGGTAATCACAACAACCGATTGTGCGTTATCCTTCGCCTCCCTCATCTAGTCACTTAGCGACGGAGCGATGTAGGTCGGCGAGCGGCGGGGGATGGGCGCCTTCAGTTTCCAGGGGAAACACTTCTCCCACGCCACCAGACACCACAGTCTGCAGCAAAGGCTCCACCCACTGGGTAAAGTGAAGAAGTCATTGGTGATCAGTCGGAATGAAAACGTTGGTTCTCTTTGTGTGTGTGTGTGTGTGTGTGTGTGTGTGTGTGTGTGTGTGTGTGTGTGTGGTCACCCTTGGAACCAGGAGGCCTAATCTCCTGCTTCTTTCAGCGGTTCACAATGAGGGAGGTCATCAGGCTAACGCACTCGTCGGGGGTATTTAGTGCACCGCTACACAGCATTGATACTGTAAACACGCCACAATGCCGTAATCCTCACGGGAACCAAAGTCTTTTGATAGAAGACGACGCTCGGCTGTAAATCTATCAATAGAGAATTGCACATTCACAGACGCCACGATCAAGTGCATCGTGTCCCTGGGGGCCGGGTGGGGGATGGTGACAGACAGCGAGGATCAAAAGACAGAAACCATCACGATCTAATCGGCAGCGGCATGACCTGAGAAGCAACCTCATTCTGAGGCCATTAGCATTAAACGCAAATGACAACTACCACTGGACTTGTGGTGTCGCTTGGTATTCAGAAACAAAAAGGATGTCAGCTGTCAAACACTGTTCAGAGAAGAGACTGCGGATAACGCAGCGCGCACACACACAAACAAACAAAGACATTCCTTTTCTGATCTCCCATCAATATAATTGACTATTCCAACCTGCAGCAACACGGAATGCCGTAAGCAAGTTTGCTTTCATTCATTGTAAATGTAATTTAACAGTAGGAGCTAAGGGATAACAAACAGTAGCAATTGCAATGTTTGTACCTTCAATAAAAGACACGCATTTTATATTGTGATATTTGCTGGAAATTGAGACATAAATGTAGCCAACAGCTAGAACGAGACTTTCAGCTCCGAGGGGCTCTTCCTCCAGGCG